TTTTGCATTTATATGATACTTGGATACAACTTGTTAGTACCTAATCGAATAGAGGAGACTACGAAGTAGACTGACTGACTGAACAATGTCTCCTTTATCCTGGTCACGCAGCGGACAAGCAGGTTGGGCTTAAATTCTCCCCAGAAGTAGTACGCTGTTGAATAGTAGGTAACGTCAACTATCTAGGAAGTGGGTGCAAAATTTGGCGATGCTACCCTGTGCCCTGTATCAGACTCAAGCTCTAGGGTCAGAGACACAAATGACAACAAGCAAGGCCTTTTTATTATAATATGTCCTGTACTTCAAAGGGTTCTCTTTTATAATTCAGCGCTTGTTTCTGGTTTATCCATCGCTCAAACTTTCCACGCCTTCTTCAATGTTGCTTACAACACTTTCAAACAACTACCAAACTAGCGATGAGTTCGGCATGGCAGTAATGCCAATTTACAAGTATCACCGTCTATCCCTTGTGAAGCCTGGGACGTTTATTCATTCAATCTATCCAACGCCAGTAATATATTCGTAATATTCTACGCCCTTCAGAATTAAACCATGGTCGTGGCAGATCAAGACCAAGATCAAGTCTCTGGACCGAAAACATCATCTGCAGTGTCCCTGTCATCACTAGCTTGGGCCAGGTTCCGCATGCTACCAGTACGGTGACCTCGAGTAAAAATGCCCGGGAACATTCTTGGGTCGCTTCCCGAGAGATGGTGATCTGCCATACCGTCACTGGGCCATGTCTGTTCTCGAGTAGCTGACAATCCAATCTGTGATGCGACCTTCGTGATCCCAGCTGGAGGAGACATCTCAGGATCGGCAGTTTCGTTGCCCGCCGACAGGCCCATACCAGAAACCTGTCCAGTTATGGACGCCACTGATTCTGACATTTTTTTTCCGTTGCCAGTAGCTTGCGTCGGGGGTTCGTTTGTAGCGTTATAGGTGACATATTTCGACAGTCTGCAGCCTTACACATCAGTGCCATGTCACTCAAACAATAGAAGGGGAAGTTTGAGTGTTGTAACTTACACATCTCGCTCTTGCATCAGGGTGAAGTAACGGAATTCCTCTCGCCGGTCAGGAACATTCGTCTTGACCATGGAATTTCCTTCTTTTCCTGGCTTATTGCAGCCACGTCCCAACCAATGCTCTTTGATGGACAGCTCATAGCCACTTTGCTTGACAGAATTCTTAGCCAACTCACACATGTCGACCGAGTTAAGCTTGTAGATTTGCGCCGCAACAGCGTATTCCTCGATCAGTGGTTCCTTTGTGAAAGCAAACTGCAAAGGGTCATCCGTTGACAGTGAGACGTTGAGGCCTCTCTTGAAGTACTGGTGAAAAGGGTTCCGCTCATAAGCCAGAAACAGAGCATTGTTACTCAACGGCGACATGGCGATGCCAATCTGGTCCAAGTAGAAGATGTACTGGAGAAGAGGCACTTTCCGAAGAAGAAGTCCATGACTAATGCTATGGCAACACAAGGCGGCAACAGCCAAGTGTTCGCTGTCACCAGCTTCTCCACAGTGAGGCCGTAACACAAGTGTGTTGAACCCGCGCTTCTTTCGCCAGTAGTTCAAGGATACCAAGTTAGAGTAGAGGTAGTAGATCCAGTAGCTGTAAGGGGGGTTCTGCTTGGTATCCCAGACTTTTGGCACAGGAAATTTCTTAAACAAACGACGCTCCACCTTGCTTTCATCATCGACACTGTCAAACCCGATTACTCGTTGAAGGAAGATATGAAGTTTTGGATGGCTGGACGGGTCCTTGGTAACTTCGAAGAGTGGCTGGAAGACATTCTTAACTACCTGTTCGAATGTCTCCATCAAACCACTGGCTTTATAAACGTCGTACAGGCGAGGGATCTGGATAAGCCATCGAACGTTGTGGGAGAAGAGTTTGTTGTCAACCACCCAGGCGGCGAGCTTGTCCCATTCATCTATAGATTTGCCGTAGATGGAGATGCGCCACTCCACCATTTGGTACTTGCTCGATTCCAGATCTGAAATGACCTCTTTGGTGATCTCTGCAAGGTAACGGCCATGAATGAAATTATCCGTCTTGAGGAAGATAGTTCGGAGACGAGACTCCCCAACTGGGTTGTATTTAAGGTTAAACTTGTCGAATCGATGGAATGAATCAGTGTGAGCCTGAAGTTGTTAGTTGCGTGTCTCTCAAGAGTCGACTTTTTTTGAGTCAGAAGTAAGCCTTACATGCATATCCAAAGTATCGATACTCAAGTCGTAGGCAGTCAAATTAATACTAGCGAAGACCTCAGCCAAAGTCAGATGCCTTCCATCACGGAATAAGACAACTTCGTTGGGAAACTTCTTCATCTTGCTCTTGATGAAGCGTAGCAGATGCTTCTGGTTCATGCATGCAGAATGATGAACGTGGGTGTCGACCTTTCGGACATTATAGAAATCTCTATGAGGAACCTTCTTGCTGTCGGCTGTTTCTTGATATTCATTCAAGAGGACATATAGGTTGAATTTGCCCTCAAGGTATTGAAGACGTCGAAATGCAAAGCTCTTGCTGGGTCCGTCAGAAGACACGTCCAGGATGTCGTCCAGATCCATATAGAACTCTCTGATGGTGGGAACCTGAATCGCAGGTGCATGCGCATTATCGTTTTCAAAGACTTGATAGACTCCGCTGTCATCCAGCTTGTACGAACGTCCATCGTTCCCAGGTAGAGGCAATACATCTGCCATGTCAAAGTCTTCTCCGATATCCTGACCCGGTTTCCGCCTTCTTGCCGATCGCTTGCCCTCGTGGTGATCGTGAGGCACATCTTTGGGTGCAGATCCAGATGCTTCCTTCGCTCCATTCGTACCAGCATTCTCCTGGCCAGGCACATGTTCCGTGGTGCTTGTTGCCTGTCTTGAAGATTGTCGCCACGCGGGCTCAGGTGGAGGGGGATAGATTTCCCAATTTTGATCATCTCTCGGGTTATCGTCTGGGCCCTGGTTAGAAAGTGAGACATATTTGCGCCTGAGATCCAGGATTCTCTGGATATTTTTCGAGATGGCACTCAGTTCCGACGTGATATGAGGTTCAGTGTCGAAAAGACCGCCAGAAGGTAGGCCGTTACTAGAGCCATCAGGAAGTCGCGGGTCTTGGGCTACCTGAGGTACATGAGAGAAGGTAGAAGAATCATTTGGTGGAAATGAGACATGCTGCGCTTCTTCCACTTTTGTAGGCGATTGAGTGAAACCCGTGGGGTCAATGGCAGGATTCGGCATCTCCAGGCCTGGAGGGAAGGAATCAACTCGGCGACCACTCGAGTCTAGCACCAAAGAATCGGCACCATACTCAGTCGCAGGGCGAGAACCAGAATTGAGAAAAGGGCTCTGAGGTATAGATTGGATGCCAGCCCCACCAGCGCCTCGCACATCGGCCTTGTTTCGGTGGTAGAAGTATTTTGCGTCCGTCTGGCTCATCTGACGCTCGGCGACAGGATCATAAAACGTGGTTCGCTTTGGCAGGTCGCGAAGAAGCATTCCATCTTCGAGCTCTTCGGCGTCGTCCCCGTTGTGCGAGCCCGCATCAGATACAGCGTCTTTGTGCGAGGCGCCATGGCCAGCTGCACCACCATCTCTGGTCTCGTCTACCTCCTCATCTGACTCCCGTGCTCGTACATCAAGCGCGGTTGATTCGCTTTCTTCGAAGATAGGACCGCCTGCGATATTCGTTTGGTCAGCAGACTTTCCAGTTACTGCAGTCGTTATCAAAGACCGTGATATCGGATTGGCGTAGCAGAGGAGGGGCAGGTCGGGCTGTGAGTTACGTACCAGGCATGGCCGTTCCTCGATCAAGTATCTTTCTTCTTTTTAATTGAACGTCAAAGCTATAATCGAAGGCCTGACCTGATGAACAAGGTCTTGTGCTCTTTGATCCAACACAGTCCAGGTATTCACAATGGGCTACTGTTTTTCAGAATGACAGAAAGAGCGTGCCCGCAGCGAGAAAGGAAAAGGCAATGGGACCTGAGGATCCTGTGAAAATGATACTACTACAAAGGTACTAAGGTATGACGGTGTGACGCACCAGGGTTTCCAGCGGGCCTTGGTGGGACAATGCGTTGGTGGAACTGACCTGCCTCTAAAGTTCCAGTGAGCTAAACCCGTTAAGGCATCTACAAAGTAAGTGTAGATACAGGTATCGAATTGAAGCTCTGCGCGATAGCTGGAAAAGCCACCAAGTCACCCATATCACCAACCCTTTCCGAGTAAGGAGATGTAGTAAACAATCCCGGTAGTCTAGGCTCTAGTTATAAGCGGGGAGAGTACGTAATCAAGCGAGATGTGACAAAGAACAACCGTTAAAGACAGCGTCTTGGACACATATGAAGTAAGTATAAACAATAGTTTCATCCGTACAAGCTGTTACCTTCAGTTCAAAGTGCACGATGTAGACGATGTAACGCGAACGTTTTATCTCTCCGATTGTTCAGCTCCACTCCTTGGAACCCGGTATATCGTTCCGTGTTAATGTCATATTTTGTACCCAGGCCATTGGGTCAACCTACCCAGGTCCCTGGTCATTGATGGAACACCCTGCCTCTAGTTCCTGAGGAACCTGCCTAGGCTTAGTACTGCCGTGGTCTATTCGTCTTTCGTTCTGTTGTCATTCGAATACACCTGGTGTCTCTAGAAGTCATTCTTGCTTTATTGAAAGTTCTATCGGCTTTGTTTATAACATTGGCAACGCCGGCCAATGGTCTCTATAGAGCAGTGTCTAGCATCTCAAAGGTTGCCGAAAGGAATTCTCTTAACGCCCTGTCTGCACAAGCCTGCAAGCCTGCAAGCTTCTCGTTACTTGCTGCTATTCGTCAGGAGTTGTTGCTCCAGCATGTTGAACCGAGCCAAAAGTCTACCAACTAATTGAGTACCATCTCTCTTTTTCTTATGAACCTTTTTGAACCAGATACGCCTCCTAAGCCCCCTTATAGCCCACCCTGGCAGATTGATGCATGGAAATGATGAAATGCAAATAGCTCAACTCGCCTTATGGTCCCTAGCCAGAACGTCTTTCTCCGCTGGTGCTTTCTTCCGTGATCCGACTGTATATAATCCACCGGCACTAAATACTATGACAGCGCCGAGTAATGTGCCGGAAGCAAGCTGGTTGCCAAACAGCCAGATGCTCAGAAGTAGACTGACGAGTTTTCGGATATTGAGAACAATAGTGACGGTGAGGGCTGTTGACGCTGCGGCCAAGAGATTGACGCCGCGAATGCAAGCATACTGTGTTAAGACATTGGTAATGAGGAAGATAATCTGGCTGGGCATCGTGACTTTGGTAAATACAGAACCAAATATCCCCGGAAGTTGCATCGGAGTGCTTGTCATGAGATGAGAGAACGTTCGGGCCATTGAGGGGGCAAAAGGCAGAAATAATGGCAGAGACAAGGCATGGGAATAAAACAGATTCTCTTTCCACTGAGGTCCGTATTTGGCGTAAGTTGCCTCAGTGTAAAGTCCCATGATAGCAGAGAGGACCTGAGCCACGAAGAGGATCAAGAGTCCAGTACTAAAGGCTGGGCGTCCACTGCTTTCGCTTGTGCCCTATCGTTTGACATGCGTCAGTATCATAATGCAATTGGCATCCGAGCTATAAAAAAAAAAAAAAAAAAAAAAAAACGTACCTTGGCTTGAGCATCAGACCATGCAGCCAGGATCACGCCGAGTGTTAAGAGAAAGACAGCAACAACCTGAGTTTGGGTATACCGCTTGCCATAGAGATAACCTGCGGCCATGGTCGTAATACTTCCACCGGATCGAAGGATGATATGAACTGGGACGGAGATATCGTAGCTGAAGGCATGGTTGTTCAAGAGGTTGATAGTGAAGAAGAGAACAATATTGAAGATCCAGCGGCTGATAGGGACCTTGTTTGGTGTAAGAAAGAACCGACTATTCGTATCAAATTGAGCGATGAATCCTGTCACGGCGACAAAAAGAAATTGCACAAATGTCAAAAGGGTTCCTACAAACAGTTAGCTGAAAGGCCACTGTATGCCGTACCGTTGTCTTGAGAACAACATGGCACTGGGTGTGGTTTCGTACCGCTAGAGGGTTCAAAACTACAATTATGTTAGCTGCATGGAACGACATGGATGAATTACAAGTAGTAAATCAATTCATAAAGGTAAAACTCACTTGACGATTGCTTCAAGAGCATACACCTAAGCCGGTCAATATTTGATTTGGTCCGTGTGAGACAACTCATTGGTTGGGGGTAAGCAATAACCTACATTGGAACAGCATCCTCCGAAGATCAAGCTCAACATCACCCCAACTGTAAGCAACGAAGGCCCAACCTCATGAGCCACTAGTTTAGCAATATGCTGAGCTATTGACGACCCCGAACCGCGTTCGAGATCTCCATTAGCCTCTCGCGAGGTGCTGTCGCGACGGACCGAGTTTTGGACGACCGTCATATCGGCAGCTGTCCTCTTGCGGAGGATATTAGAAGGTGTTTCGGTCGCCATCGCTGTGAGATGGGATGGGGGACGTGTTAATAGTAAAATCAGAAAAAGGAGTGACAAGTCGTATCCCTCGACAAGCGGCTCAGCTGACAAAAGAGGAGCGGCTGAGTCGAATGGTTACTGTACAACAAACAGGTAGACCAAACTAAGAGTTTACTTGTACCGATTGCCCTTGTGTCGTTGCTATTGTTAGGCCAGGTAATGCAGAAGAGCCAAGAACGGGCGAGACAGGCAGGGATAAGATAGATGGGTTTATTTGGTAGAGACCAGATAAGACTCTATGCCGACCCGCATCAATTAAGGGGTACCTCTGTACCTGCATGCTCACCAGATCCGGCCGAGTCGAGCTGTACTGGGTACGCCACGCTAGTTAGTGACCTTTATCAAACCTTAGCTCACTCTCACCGACTGCATAGGTTAGTACTCAGTGATGCCCAAATCAAAATACCTAGCAATGGGACTCCAAAAGGGCGCAACCGACTCAAGCTCAGTCTCGCCGTCATAATTCTGGCCATAAATTTACCTAAACATGGCCCAAGAAGTAAGGCGTCTATCTACTACTTGTGCATCAATGGCATGGTCGTGTCTTGCTTTGTACCGTCCAATCCTTTCGTACACCACTCTCCCTTTAACTCTACAGGGAAAATTATTAGCCACGCTCGGGTCGAGCAGGCAGTTTGATCACTTCTCGAATACGAGTGGCATTTCTTTGATTCTCAATGATGTCTTTGTGGTTTCTGCTACACGTGGCGACTCAACACCAACCCAGGCACTCGTCCACCTCCATCTCGTGTGGCTTCTCCTGCTCGTCCATTCGCTTGCTTCATAGATGGATAGGTAGTCGGTAGCTTCGCCCCTTGCCCTGCTACTGCTTCAGCGGCCACATCCAAGGGCATCCTCCGGCGTTATTTCTTTCCACGAAGCATTCGCTATGCACTACCGACGCTCTCTGAAGTCGCTTCAAAGTATAGTAGGCTACATTAAGTCGCATCGCTGTATCCTGCACCACTGACATGCTATGACGTGCCCGAGAAGAACTGGGCCAGTTCCTTTAATGGCGACGAGGCAACCCCTGCTCTTGCTGCTTCGACTCCTGCCACTCCCTTCCTCGCTAAAATGCCCACGAGATGAACGCCGGTATCTTGGTCTAGAGTGCTGAGAAGACAAATAGCTATCCCATAGTGTTAGTAAAGGCTGCCGAACTATCACATGTATTCTAGCTTCACTTACATTGTTTGTGGCCGCAATCGCAATACTGTCCTCGAACGGATGCCAACTCATGTGCAGAATCTTTTTGTTAAAATCGATCTGGTCCGCGTCTGTTTCCTTACGCATCCGCTGACCTTGACCACCTGGGCTACCAGCTCTAGAGCCGCCCTTCTTCCCGTTGGTTGCTGTCGGGCTCGTGGACGAATTGATCGGCGTAGGCACTCCAACCTTCTTTGCCTTGAAGGCAGACTTATCTGCCTGAAGGACTACCTCAACCTCCTTGTCAGGGTCTGAAGGGTAGATCATGAAGTTGTTGTTGTAGCTTCCTGTCATGACATTCTTTGCGTCGCCAGAGAAGACGACTTCGAATTTGTCGAATATACTATCGTTCTCGTATGTGTCGCACAACCGTGGTCGAAGATGCTCGTGGATTGGTATCGTCTTTACAGGCTGTCTCTCCATGTTGATATCCCAGATCTTGACAGTCAGGTAGTCGCGAGATAGGATATATCGGCCGTCATGTGAAAATCTCACATCTGAAATGGAGGAAATGATTTCGGAGAAGAATGACCGCGAAGAAGGGTCTTCTTCTTGTTCAAATACTATAGCAGTGAGTTAGCAAAAGTCTCCGGACGTAACAAAGTTGCCGAAGAATGGTGCACAAACGTTTGGCATGCTGGTCACACAGAGCACTCTCTCGCATGTCGGCAAGTTTGATAGTACCCTTGGAGCTTGCATACATGAACCAGTTGCAGCTCATGGGATGGAATTCGGCAGCTGTGATCACTTCAGTGAGTTCCTCCATGTTGGCGGGCTTGATATCGACAATGTTGAAGCTCTGATCCTGGATATTGAGGTTCCAAAGATTGATTCGCAAATCATCGCTGCTGATAAAGGTTTCCCCGTCACTGTTGACTGAAATGCTGTTGATGTGGTAGGCGTGCGCGTTGGCGTATGTTCGGCGTGGCACAGCGGCAACGACCGTGTCGTGGTGTGTGAGTCGAGGTAGCTTCAGGTCGGCAGCGTTCTTGAACTGATGAGCAGGCAGAGGCTTGGGAGCACCCCCGCCGCCAGCAATACTCCCAGGTGTTACGTCGTGAGAGAGGTTGTTCTCCGCTACGACCTTGAGCGACTTCTCAAAGACTTTCCATAACTTGATCGTCTTGTCATTGGTAGACAGAAGATAGTGCGAGGCGTTCTGTCGTCTGCACCACTTTATCTTGTTGATCTTTTCCTCGATCTCGAGTGACTTTAGATAGTCGAATTCGGGCTCGTGAGATTGGAACTCGGTGTGGAACTTGTACTCGCAGGTTTTTTTCTGCGCAGATGATTATCAGAGAAGATGCTACGGAATCGCCAAGCCGATCGTGGCCGGTACATGAGGATGTTGCCGGATGGTGACGTACCGTTTCGTTTCGTTCAAAGAGCACCACCCGACCGCCCTTGTCGCCAGTAGCGAGGTAGTTTCCGGTATGGTCGAACTCAACTGTCGAAATAATATCGGCTGTACCAGAGCAAGCATAGCGGTTAGAATACGATGTTGATGAACTGGCTTTGGAAGATGCAAGCGGTGATGACATACCCTCAGTGATATCCTCAACATCGCCCTTGTCGCCAAAACACCTATGAAACAAAGCTCAGCAATCGATCCTTCAAATGGGAGTAAAGGCCCGGAAGCCATATGAAATAGCCAACATACTGTGTGAACTTCCACGTGGGCGAGTTCGCTTCGCTATCGACCATCTTGGTGAGCAGTGAGGGCGGGGATTAGGAGGGGTTGTGGTTGGAGTTCGAGGGAGGCAAAGGTCAGAGTCGATAGCTGTGGGAATGGCGGGGCCAAGGCGGAGGGAGGGAGGGAGGGTTTGATCGGAGTTGAGAGTCTGGAAGCAATAAAAGCTCTTGATTTGAGCGAGACGAGACAAGACGACGCGAAGAGATATTGAGCAACGGCACACGACTAGTCTTGCGGTGGACGGATAGCGTCAGGCAAGGCAAGGCAAGGCAATGCAAGGTGGTGAGTGAGTGGGTGGAGGACGGTGGTGGTGTCGTTTTGGATATCGTCTTTTTGTCGGCGCCGCAGTGGGGTCTAGCAAGATATTGTCCGCTGTGATCTATAAAATGAACGGTCGTCCAAAAATATTCCTCGTTGAGTTGAGTAGAGTTGACCTAGCAGGAAAGAATTTGAAGAGAAGGCCCAGAGAAGGACAGCGATAGATGGACGGATGGATGTATGATGTTGAAGGGTCGGCAGGAGTCCAAGGCTGAAGAGAATAGAATACCTAGCGGTAATGACGGGATGGAGATGTGGATGTGGGCGACCGACAGAAGGAGCAGAGGGGCGGATGGGCCAAAGAGATGAGAGTGGAGGGAATGGCCCAGCGCTATATTAGAGGTACTTGGAGTGTGCTGTGCTGTGCGAGCTGTTTAGGTACCAGGCTACTAGGGACCTATGCGCAGAGCTGCCCGAGCTGACCTAGCTGAGCTGGGTATCTATGCAATGCTGTGCTGAGCTGGCGACATAGAACCCAGGCACGAAGATACTTGATGAGCTAGTTGTGACTTTTTCTCCTTCTGAAGGACTGTTGAGGCGGAGTCTGAATAACAATGTACTTTGTCAACGCACACCTACTGCCAATTGGCCCAGGCGTTTATCCTCCTACTAATCTCTATAAATCTACTATACGAACTGAGCTTAGTAGTAGAAATTAAAATATATTATAGACTTTGGTATTGTATCTGAAATCGACTGAGTTCCGCCTGTGAAACCTGGCTGCTACGGACCTTTGTGTATGAATCGAGATTATGCTTTATACTACTAATCAAGGCAGGTAGGCAGGGATTACAACAGCTGCCAACTTTACCATTGCCTAAATACTTCTTTAATAATTAACAACGATGAAATAGGAAGAAAGTGACGCAGTAGAATGTCTACAACTTAACTCCCTAGGTAGTAGTCTAGACGTAGACAGTCAAGCTTTAATTCTTGATTCGATTCGATTTTGGCTTGGCCTAGCTTGGTCTGGCCTTGAATCTGAACTTGGCTGCCACCAGATGATGATTGATCAATGAATGCATGGATGCGGGGATATGTGGACTCTAAACACACGTAAAGCAAACTGTTGTCGTCTTGGGCTTTATCTAGTTCATTCCAGTGTGTGGTTTTATTTTAGGCCCAAGATGATCTGATGAGAGCGAAAGAAAGATGAAGCAACAACGCCATTCAACAGGCTCTAGATAGTAGGCACTTTACAATAGAAGGTAGTTTCAATTTGCTCAGCTCGGAGGCTTAACGCCACTAGCATACTAGAATCGATGACTTAATATTTTCATGCTTATAGCAGCATGTCGGAGAGGGGCAACGATCCCAACAGTTCAGCCTACCTATCTGCTCTTACAACTGTCTTTGGAAGTGTAAGCTCAAATTGATTCCGCATTGGTACATCTGTCTATCCTGAATCTCGACCCATCAAATACTAGCTGCTGCAGGCACTCTACAATGCCTAATCTATCCATTTAAATACATTCAATGCTTTCGGTCACTTCACCTACCAGGCTAGGCTAACAAAAGGTGGGCAGTAGGGAGGTAAATACCCAACTTTCTAGGTATCACTGCATTACATGAATTTCTTAATCTTCTCCTGATGCAATCGCCAAATAAAACATCCATTGCCTTCTTTAAGTATGTCTAGGAGGGGCTCAACCTAGGTATCTCGGGCATCCGATCCAATCCATGGCCACCGAGCCGATCGGCACCCGCTCATCCGTCCGGGGCCGTTTTGACATGTGCTCCGGTTGAACTACAACTAACTCTCATCAACGTTGACGTACATACCTACCTATACATCAAATTTCCATTCAAAAGTCTGCAATAATTCCAAAAAAGCTTCAACGAACTCCACAAATGCCCAGGTAACTCTTTTGGGTCATAACCGTCTCGAGAGAGTTAATACACAAAAATGAGCCAGGATAATCGACAACTTCCAAAAACCCAAATAGAGGGCAACACTCCCCTGGATTTAAAAGGCAAAGGAAAACAAACCAAGAAAGAGAATACTATTCCCATCGTCGACAGACTTCAATCTTCCGGGAGACTAGTTCTCGATGCTTTTGGAAGCGGCCCAGAGCTGAGTGGCCAACAGCCAGCGAGAAAAGCTGACCCAAGTGGCAGCAACAGCAACAGCATTGACAAGATCTCGTCAAGTACGGGAGAAGCATCCTCACACAGATTACGCTCATCAATTCAGGCGGAAACCTTGCGCTCAAAAACAAATCTGGATTCTGGACCTTCCGCGCAGGCATTCAACGATTTTGTTAGTGCCGACGTCACGCTGGACGTTGACAATGACAATGACAATGCCAACCTTGATGAGGAAGCACGAAAGCAAATATACCACTCGAAATCTACACATGCATCACACGATGTTAGTGAACAAGAGAAGCTGGATGGTGCAGCCGTTGTTAGCCTGCTGGACGGTCATTCAGATGAACTCGATGCTGTTTTGGTCGGATCTCATGATCCGATAGCCGAGGCCGATGACGATCCCCTTACACCAGAAGCGGCAGCCAAACTTCGAGAAGCTCTCTTTTCTAATAACTCAGTGTCCTCTGGTCCCAGCCTAAGTGATCTACTAAACTTCAACCCTGGGTTCCTAGATCAACCAGGACCTGAAGCGGAGTTTGAACGACAGCTCTACCTGGGCACAAGAGATACCGACCAAGCGAGGAGCAGTTGGCTGCAGCAGTGGGGCGACGTCCTTGCTGGATATACTGACCACGTCTGGGGTGACCTGGAACCGTTGATAACTGAGGCTCGGAGGGAAGTTGAAGAGTCCAAAGCTCAAGGCCCTGGAGCAGTTTCCGAGACAAAGGCGTTGGATCGATTGCGGCAGGTCCTTGCACATATTCGCTGGGTTTGAAGAAATTGTGTTGAAGTAGATAGTCTGTGAAATAACTAATAGTCATCCTGAGATTGGTATGTATATAATCCCACCGAATTGTTAATTCACTGGTCAGAATACAACTATATCGCACTCATGTTAGTACGGAGATAAATGGGTGAAACGAGTTGCTCAGCCAACTAAACTACCTGAATTGACCAATGACATCATCCCAATGCTGAACTAGACTCCCCCGTCAGCTCAATGCTTGCTCCTATGTGCGCCTACGCCGTGTTGCCCAAGCAGCCAAGGACATAAATAACCTTGCAAGGTGATCGATCAGGCTTGTCTGGTCCGTCGCTGCACAACCTTGTACTTTTCACGTTATGGGTCAAGTCTTTGGTGAGAACCCCACTGAATAGCATCCTAGACCCCTTGCTAGAAGCCTGGAAGCTTACAAGGAAGCATTACAAGAGGAAAGGTAAACTAAAAAGGTGAGAGCACGAGGATTTTATTGGGGCTTCCTTTCTACAAATTCACATTCCGACTTTCGACACGACCTGTGACATAAAGCTCTGATTTTGCGACCCTGCGTGCTTTTCCATTACCTGCTTAGTACTCACGCATTTCGAGCCAGTGTTGGCAAGCCCCGTCTCAACCATGCTTTGTAATAGTTGCTTCTTGCTTGCTTTTGTCGCAGCCTCAACATCGGCACAGAATATCTCAGAGATGCCAGCAATAGCGACTGCAACCGCGACTGCGACATACTATCCGGCCTACATTCCACCTGCATCAGTTATCTTCAAGCGAGACGATTCATGCCCCGCCAACACATTTCGGTGCTCTGAGGAGCTTGGCGAGAGATTCCGCGACATTTGCTGTCAAAACGGCCAAACATGCGCTGTGGACGCCGATGACGAACCGGCCTGTTGCCCTTCTGGGTGAGTATCATCTTGTCCTCCATGTTCTCGGCATACTTCCTACGTATGCACCTTGCTAAATAGCTTAACTAACGATTCGCAGAGCTATATGTACAGGAACAGCTCCAGCTTCGGCCACCGGCACAGCAACCGCTTCACCATCCTACGTTCCGAACTCATATTTCGCCTTTCCCTACGCGGCAGCGACCTTCGAGAACGAGGCTGCATGCACCTCGGCAGTTGATGCTTGCGAGGAGAACTATGATCAATGTGTCAACTTCCTTGGTGATGGAGGTCAATATGGTGTCACCATCGTTGTGCCCGGCGGCGGAGGCACCACCGTCGAGGGTGGTGGACAGGCTTTGGGCTCTTCCTCTGCGACTGCTGTCTGTTCAAGTTTGAGTTCACGTGCTTGTGGAAATGTTTCCAGCGATGACTGCTCGGACTATGGAAACCATGCTTCGTCCTCTAACAACCATGGCTTGTGGGCTGCCAGTCTCAGTGCAGGTATCGCACTCCTCAGTTTCCTATTCTAAATCCAGGAACACGCAGGTTTACCATCGCGGACGGCCATTGCTTGTAGACTATGAACTGCAGGCTCGGTTGTATCCCTGACTTTGCAGGCTCACGCTTCCAGGAACAACGCAAGCTTGAAGAAACACTCCAAGAAGGGGCACTGACGTGACGGTAACAGTGATTGACGGCCAATTTATGAACTATATAATGAGCGCCCCAGGCTAAAGTAACTGCGGGCTATGAAGCGTGTTTATGTTGTATATAGGATTGCAATTTGGCTTACACTAAACGTTTGACACTTGATATATATATTTGAACATTGTTTTTCTTCCGGCCTATTATATGACTCTCATGGATTGAGCTCGCATGCCTTATGTCGACCATAACACTCACCAGGTTGACCTTAGTACATTGGTTTATCACACAAGCTGGAACGTCCTCCATCCGCTGACCTCTCAACACGTCTACGACGGAATGGACTATAGAACGTTGAGGCGAGCAGAGCCTACAAAGTGGGAATGCAATTCTCAGGCTCGTCAAGCTTCAATGTTACACGACGTAGTCTGTATAAGTCGGTGATCAACGCTTTGCCTAGGCCAACACAATCCTGCGTCGATCAAAAATAAATGCTGTCCTAGACCACTCAACCACACTTCTGAGCCCGACCTTGCTGTCCAGAGTGAATACAGCGAATTCGTACCAGCCGACGAACAATGGAACATAACTATATAAGAGAAGGGTCTAGCCGGCGAAAGCATATAAAATTCAGTTATCAAAAGGTCCATACCAGGGTACTTTTGGTTTCTGGCGGACATCTGTCTGCCTATCTACATCCCTGCCTTTGGAATTTTACTCTAATCCAAGTACATTTACTTCTTCAGGTCCCAAGCATTATGGCTATCGCTTCCACAGTAACTGCATCAACATCAAATGATATATAGCCATTGACTGACACCAGGCACTGAATTACAGTGACATCGAGAAGACCACAGACCAATCACTGGTCCTAATTCCTTTCACACTAGCAACGACTCTCTTTGTATTCAATGCGAGATTATCTCTGGTGGTACCTGCTCAAATGTTTGGTGAAAGCATAGCTTCCAGTATATCCCTGGCAGAACCTCTAGTGTTTTCTCCAGTCTCGCCCGATTCAACTTCACTCTCACGTTTGAATGATTGCCCTAGAAAAATCCGCGCCGTCAACTCTGCTTTCTCTAGGATATCCTCATCTGTTGGAGATAGACGAGCACAAACCGCACCCAAGTCTTCGTTATGGGCAAGCAGCTGGGAAACGTTCTCAGCACGGTCGACAACTGGACCTGGCACGCCATTCAGAGCTGCACACCTACCTCCATAGCTGGAAGCATTGTGGCCATACTCGAGGTTGAACAGGTAAGTGACTTGGTCATCCACAAATGATGCCTCCCGTTCCAGTCTGACATTCATATGCGCAATTCTGAAGCTGCTATGGTGCTCAAGATAGTTGTTCTCGAATACTTCGTGGAAGTGTGTGGCAGCCAGAAGACGAGGGCAGTTGGGCCCGAGTGATAGGTAATGGTCCAGCAGTGCAGCCAGTAATGCAGCACCGTCGTCCCCGTTCGTTCCTTTCCCGAATTCATCTACGAGGACGAGACTTCTTGGTGAAGAAGTCTTCATCGACAAAGCGGCTTGTTTCATGTCCCTGGCAAACGCACTTTCGCCCCCAGACATACTTTCTCGAGGTGAAATGCAGGTAAGGATACTCTCGGTAAGCCCAATAATGGCCTGAGTGGCCGGTACAAAACTGCCGATGTGGGCAAGGTAAACGATAATAGCCGTTTGTTTCAAATACACGCTCTTTCCCGAGTGGTTTGGGCCTGTGAGAACTACAGCCTGGGGCGAGTCACCTTGCACTTCTGATGCGCTTTGCGACCCTGCAACGAGGTGGCAGGAGTTTGGGACGAAAGCCGGCACAACAAGCTCCTGCAAAGGGTGACGACCTTCTTCGATGTGAATTATACTTTCTTCCACAATCTGCGGTCCCCGAAAATTGTACTTTTCAGCACCAAGAGCAAGCGCAAGTATTGCATCGAACTCGCCGCACATGTCTGATGCTGAAAGCAAAAGCTCTTCATACTTCAACACTTTGCTGACGAGTCCATGGATGATTTCCACTTCTCGATCTATGGATGATTAGCCTCTGATACTCAAGTGAGAACGGCTCTGTTACCTCCGATTTGACAGTACATGTCTCCATATTCTTCATCCAGCTCTCGCATGTAGCTGTTCTTGTAGCATACTGCACTGTCTGTATTAAACAGTTTCTCCCATGCTTCAAGAGTAGTACCTTCTCCCTCATAACGCCCATTCCCCGTGGCAGGGTTTGATTCCACTACTGTGAGGAAACCGATTTGAGGTAAGAAAATGCATGATTGTACATACTTGCGCGCCCAGTCCGGTAGTTCGCGGTGCACGTGGTTGATAACTTCTGTCAAGAAACTGTCCATGCCGTCGTATTGTCTTTTAAGTTCGTCTAGTTTGTGGTCGATCCCAACCTTTACTGAGGATCGATGACGTGCCTTGGATTGTTCAAAGTCGATTGTTTTATCGATCATTTCTTTAACAGCCACCAGGCTAGGCAGATGGATATCCTCAATTACCTAGGGGCAACTTCAGCTAAAGTTTTGAGGATTCTCGTGATATAAGCAACTTACTTGTTTGAACAGAACTACATCAGAACCACCGTTGAGTAATGCTATTAGTTCTCGGAGTGTCAGGGCGTGAGTAGTAAATTTGTGAATAGTTCCCCATACTCCCTTATCGAAAGACTGCCTAGCAAAAGGGAACTCGATACCTTTGCGGAGCTGCGCGAATGTAGCGTGTAAGTTCCGGATCTTGCGGAGAGTCAAGGCTAGCTGTGGCAGTTTATCAGCATTTTCAGGTTGCAGTAATGCTGCAATGGACCTTTGCCTCTCTGAAATGACATTGATGTTTAACAGGGGTCGGAGAAATATTCGACGCAATTGTGTACGGCCCTGTGGTGTAGAAGCCAGATTTTGAAAGAGGCCATAGACCGAAAGACTCTCTTTTGAATTGCTTTGATTTGTATTTGATCCTAATGCTTGACTGTTGGGGTGCATTTCAGTTTGGAGAATTTGTAATGACAAAAGAGTATCATTGCTGATATACATATAAGACGAGAGTGAGAACATGTGGATGTCAGTAACACGGAATAGAACACCAGCTACCTGCCCGTCAGGTAGAAAGCCAGCAGGCCTTCGATGAAGAATGTCACCCAGCAAGGCGCCAGCACATCCTAACTAGGCAAGGTCAATACAGTCAAAATCTCATCAAAGCCTTACTTACCGAGACAGGACTGTTCATGTTTATACACCCTCCATATTGAAGTGATCGGAACGCACACGATTCGGGCAGCGGATGTCCCGGTATTGGTTCTTCGTCGGCATCATCTTCCATGCCAGTTGAGAATACGATTCCGGTAGTCGATAGGGCTTGAGAGTTCACACCCACAAGCCGCTCGTGGGCCGTTTCAATCGAGAATTCGGAAGACTGTAAGCCTCGGAAAATGATGCCCCTCGTATCATCTTTGGCTAATTTGTTAGTTACTTTTCCTATCATACCCGAGAAAGTCATGCCAAGTCACTTGCCTCCTGGGGTGACGAGTTTCTCAAGGTGGTCCCGAAAACTCACAGGTGCTCTTGCCGACACAAGAAGACTATTCGGCTGAGCATGGATGAGGAACTGTTCAGCAATGTCCAAGGAAGCTGCCGAAATATCTTCTGAAACTTGAAGGATTCCATCTGTAGTGGAAAAATATGCGCACCCGATCGTGAAATCGTCTTTAATGTCCATGGCCATGACAACTTCATGCTGGACAGGCTCGCTGCTACTTCGAGGATTTTGTTCTTCATGGGAAATGGGTGGTTCGGGTGTAGCTGAGTATTGACGAGCGAGATTGCAAGCATTGGGACTCGAGCGTACTGAGGAGCCAGATTGAGGAGATGAATTTCGGGTATTCCTATGTGTGAAAGCATGTCGTCCCCGAGCTGTTCGAACTCGGCCCCAACCGCGGCCTCGGCCGCTGGAGCTAGAGGCACTCGAACCTGATGTTCTGGGAATTTTCATCCCTTGAATGCGGGTATTACCAGCTCTTCACGAAAAGAAGAACTGTTTGGTGTTGATGAAAAGGAATCTGGTATGAAAAGGAAAGTGAACATCGGCCATGCGAATCACGACAGGTCAAACAGACGCAGTTGCCTTTTGACGGGTTACAGTTGGCACTTTCCCTGACGCTTTTTAGATTTTCCATAATATGGGCCTCCCTGTTTCCTATAGGAGGCAGGAAGACCTGCGATTTTGGTAATGAGGAAGGACATGATGATGGCAAGAGCTCGACTATTTCTACAGTCATCAGCGCAGGCACTGTCTTTCTTCACCACCTGGCTGCCCGTTATTGTCACAATTTCCAGTGATCACAAGTAGTACATCGTGACTAAGGGTAAGTCCATTATTACCGAGACATTTATATGGAGGTGAGAAATTGCGTTGCTTGCATCGATAATTGCTTTTCATGACTTATTAGACGATTACCCATACATATTTCTATGAGCAGTCCAAGGCCACATCATTTTCTGCGTCGCTAGACGAGAGTATCGGGACATTGATGCTGTAGGAAGTAGAAGAGTCGCTTTACATTGTATCCAAGATACAAAATGTTGTCTTTACTTCTCCTCAGCCTTAACCCATTTCGTAAATTCGCGTCGTTGTTTGCGAATATCAACGAATCCAGGTCGCGTCTCAAGGATACTGAAGGGATTCCCGCGGTAGTCCTTCTCCACCTCACCACCTCCAGTCATAAAACCAGCCTCTCCTTCACGCTCAATCTTCCCAGCCCACTCATGCCACTTGATCGGTCGAAGCTGCGGGGTTCCCATTACCAGACCCAAAACGACTACCAGGGTTGCTACCAAGGCTTCGATGGAGATATCGATTGGAAGGGAGTGTGTTGCGAGCGGTTGCGGTTGGCCATGGTGCACGGCTGCTGATGAGATGGCAGAATGCTCTTGCGCAGAGTAGCACCTGTGACGATTGTTAGCTTGTGGATATTGGAAAAGTAACGGTAAACTTACGCGTGTGCAAGAAGAACAAGACCAGTCACGGTCACTGTTTTAGAGATCCAGGTCATGCTGTGGTGAAGCTGGGTAACCTCCGAGGCGACGTTTTTGAATAGTAGGTACCCTGAAGACAAGTCGTGGCCAGAGAAAGCTGTGATGACATGGGCGACCAAAGATAAATAAATGACTAAGCTTATGGAGTCTCCGCCAATACCCACAACAACCTACAACCAACTTCGTGCCATGCTCAACGTCAACCTCAATAATTAAGTGCAAGATATTGAACGACAGCAGTTTCAATACAGAAGCGTTCAAAACTGAATAAGATCCATTTAATATTCAATAATACTTTCGCATTCCTTCCCTTTCTAATAATACACCCAATAGGAAACCCATGTCTAAGATAACTACTAACTAACTCGCTCAACTCATTGTATCGTATCCAAAACCGCCTGCTCAATAAATTAACATACTCAAGGAAATTTGTTACAAGAGTTTGCTCTCAAATTCCGATCACCGGAGACCTTGTTCGGTCTGCGCATACCAATCCTCGAAGTGGCCAGGTTCGTCCATCACTTCAACCTTCCAATCGTCTTTGTTGCCTTTGAGATAAGCGTCTTGTGCTGTGGTTTCTTCATAGCCAGCCGCAACAGGCATCATGTCGTGGTCACTCTCCATATGAGGAATCCAACCTTCCTGTCCCAAGGGAGTAGCGCCTGAAGGGAGCACGTCGTATGTGTCGTACGAAGGAGTTGGCCCAAATAGAGGAGCTGGTGCATTGTCAAAAGTTGATAGGGGGGCACCATAGTAGCCATGGGCGAACCCATCCAGGCCATGAATCGAGAATTCCAACTCTCCGGGTGAAGCGGCTCTGCTGGTCATCTCGCTGTTGATGCCTAGGCCGTTGTACTGCCGCATACTCATACCATAAGGGTTCGACGCCATCTGATCATATGGGAGAGCATGAGGTCTACCATGGTAGGAATAGGTGTACACATCATGGTAGGGCGCAGTTGATGGATCGCCCATCGAGTTGTTAACGGCATCAAAGATAGAGGAAGAGGGTTCGTTCAGTCGTGTGGCTTGTCGGTACCCGGACTTCCGCGCTGCGTTGGAAAGCCCACGCCCGCCATTCCAGTCTGAGTCGTTGTCCGAATACTCTTCATCCCCATTCTCATCACGTTTGGTCTTTTTTGGCTTCGAAGGCGTGAACTTGTATCCAGGATGTGCTCGCTGGTGGTTCACGCGCTCGATCCTAGCCCACTGGTCAAATGCCTCTTTGATTTGCACTGGCTCCAAGACCCATGCTGCACCACAGACCTTTGATACATGTTGGTGGTTGTTTTGAGCACACTGCGTCTTGGCAACTTCCTGGTATGCCTTTCGGTAAAGCATGAAGGCGTTCATAGGGCGTTTAATCTGGCCGGGTTTTTTGTTGCGTGATGTTTCCGAGAGTCTCGTCTCGGTAGACCGGTTAACAAAGGTCTCAATATCAGCAACGCGGATTTCGGGAAGGTCTTTAGCAGATTCAGAAAGGGGTTTCGAAACGATGCTAGTTGTGTTCTTGGTCCTCTCAGCACGGCTTCTCTTCTGCACTCGGCCACTTTTCACGGCTGGTGATCTGGTTGTGAGCGACTTCTTAGCGATGTTGAGCCCACTGCGGGTTGTTATGGCATCGCTTGTCTGGCATGGCGCCGATGGCGATGCCTCAGGTGTATATGGCAGATGAGTCTGTTGGGTCAGTCTGATGCTCTTTACATATTGCTTCTCTTACTTACATTGTAGCCAACCTCGTCGGGCAAAGGTCCATATGGATGGCTAGTGATTCCTAGACCACTGGCGTAACCTGTCTTTATCCAAGGTCAGTCTCAAATATGTCCTTTAAGAGCTGTTGCACTTACAAATGAGTTATCACTTCTTTGAGAGTAGACTGTAGATGGCTCGTAAACTGAAGTGTCATCCTCGCGAACGGGAGTGGAGTATCGCGTTGCATATGGATAGCTAGCGAAACTTTGTTCTGGACTCATGGTGTCCTGAGTGTGCGAGGTGTGTGAGTCCATCATGGCCGTTGGCTGTCGAGAGAAGCCGTCAGAGGACGATGGCGGCGTCGGTAGTATGTGTTGTCGCATATCGCAATGCTCCTTCCACTGTCTACGGTTCAACTGTAGTCGAAAGACGACTGGATAAAGCTTGGGTAAAAGGGTCAAAAGAGTGTTGATAGTGTTAATGGCGTCGATGGTGATGGAGTTGGTAGAAAAGAGAAGATGTATGTGTGAACCAAGGTTGGTAAAAGCACCCTATCTCGCAACGAAACACAATGTAGTTGGAGAGTTTAATTCTGGTGTTTTGAAAGTAGCTATGTTGGTCTTATGCGGCCCTGAAGATAGCAGACAAAGTAGAGTTCCCTTTGTTGTGTTTCTTTGAGAGCCGCCGCATGTGGTTTTGTATACATCATATCTGGGGACACTCTGATACCCTGGACTTGGCTACAACGCCAGGACCATGCCCACAAATAGACAAGCAACGTCCTGGTTCAAAGAGAAGCGGAGAAGACGACCATGATGGCAGGAAACAGGCCGCAATGCAGACCGTCGCCCAAGGGTGATCTCTCCAAGCTGCATCTTCATATGTCGTTGGCCAACCATCCATCCACCATGCAACGCCCGGGCCAGGCCAAAGAAGCATGGTCAGAATAGGTCAGAATAGAGACCGCACGGGTTTAAGAGATAGGCCCGCTTGGTATCAAGCCGCAATCCATTCAATAGAATTAGAATGTCATGCTTTCGATTGTGCTTCCCTGCGCCGCCCTATTCGCATGCCGCTAGTTCAGCCATGGCGCATTCCTTTGACGTACACATCCAGGCCCCCTCTCCGTCATCTGTCATCCCAACTTAGCTTCAGACTTTAATGATATCGATAGTAAAACATGTGAACAGGGAGTTTGGCTGGTTCGATTAATTAATTTATTATCCACAACTTCTCTTTTGTTTAGCAGCATAGGTATGTCATTGTCTGCTGAGATATTCTTACAATCCCTGCTTGATGTACCACCGTTTTCTTTTTGTCTTGTACACGTTTCTACCTACCTCAGGCTTGTTGTATGGGGGGCTGCAGTATGTTTGCTTCAAGTGCTGGATAGCTGGGACCACGCGGCCACAAGCGGTGTTGCTGGTAGAAGTCTGTTTGATGTCGCGGTAGCCGAACAATTGACCAACCATAATCCATACTTGGCCAGCCTCACCAATCCCTGCCCTAGCTTGGTCTATTGGTTCTGTTTTGGTAGATCAATTCCTTCCATCAGAACTGCTCTTTTCTATTCTGTCCTGACGCCCAAAAGAGAAACATGCCTCTTTCTTCAAAGCTTTGACCATTTGTTCCTGACCACCATGTTTCAATGGTATAGTGTTGCTAGTAGACACCCTATTTTCGGTATGGGTTCGGCCATTCGCGTCTCGCGTTGCTGCAGTATGCTCGACCACAACTCCTGTTGGTCGCCCACCTGTCTGGTTTGATCATGAGGATGACATTAGAATTCATACAAATAAGGTAAAATGTTGTTTGGTTGTGCTAAAATGAGTCTCGTTTGAGATCCCATGACAAGTTATGTCTGTGAATACCGCTATGTCTCTCCAATAAAAATGGTAGGACGGCTTTTTCTCGTTAATGTTCGCCTGGTATTGGCTGTAGGATCGACTGTTAGAACGGTTTTAAAAACATCCAAGCCATGCTTAAACGATGTTTCGGCAATTTGTTGATGCAGCTGTGGCGTTTTGCGGACCCACGCCTTACCAAAGTTCTCTGTCTGGAGTTCTCATCGGTTTTCGAACGGCCTTGGTGGCTCTGAGTGCTTGGTTGGCGGAGTCAGAATCTGATGTTGTGGGGACGGCGATAGTGCGACAGGAGGTAATATTGGAGTAGCAGCCTTGAATCTGCTTGACTTGGCAGAATCTAACGGACGAGGGGGCGAGTGTTTTGTTGGAGAGAGCCCAGCGGTAGAGGGTAGTGTTCCGTTCTGCTCGTGTGCTGCTCTGTAAATTTCGCGACTGATCTGAGGTGTACTCAACGCTGACTCAACTGTCTTATCCCCCTGAAAACTGTCGATGCCTTTAGAAGGGCTGGGTGTCCGGAAAGACGTCATTGGACTGGTCATGGCCGCGCTGCCTGAAGGGCTGTCCTGAAAGCTAGCATCTAACTTGACAGGTGCCGGAATCACCGGTGTCATCTTGGGTGTGCCGAACAAACTCCTGTTCGGCCCTGGACGGGCGTCAATCGTTGTGTTGATGAAGTCGGCGCTATTGACAGTAGTGCCATGCGTAGTACCTGTCAACAAAGCCAAGCCATCTTCAACGCTGTTTTTGACTGTATTGCGACTTCCATCCGATATCTTGTCAACTCTTTGGGACTGCCCCGCATTGGTAAGAGATCCATTTCGACTCAAAGACTCACGTCTCTCTGGCTCTGTGCCCGAACTGGTCGGGCGGTTGAGTTTTAGTTTGATGGTTGGTCTGGGCCGCTTGGCCTCTTCCTCTCGACGAGTGCAAGAAGCACAGATGTAATGAAACTCTGGCTGGTCGGCGGCTTCTTGGCTAAGCCCCATACAGTTGCTATGCTGCCAGATATTGCATCTCTCACAGGCTACGCTGTGGGCTCCGTCATCGACTTGGCCGTAGAGACCACAAGTGCAGTCGAAGATCCAGTCGTCTTCCTCATCCTCCAACTCTTTCAAAGCCTTCTTGTTTCTTTCGATCTCTACCTTGAGACGACGCTCGGAAACCCGCCCACTGTTTGAAAGATTCTTACTGTCCTCAGAGAGTTGCGCAAGTTCTTCCTCGTGTTGAATGCGACGGGTCTCTCGTTCTCGTAATCGCTGTTCTCGCGAGACCATGCGTTTCTCGCGCTCCTTTTCTTTCTTGGCCTGTGCGAATTCTCCCCGCTGTCTGTTTGCTTCTTCTTCGAGTCGTTGTCGCTCCTCTTCTCGAATATGTTCGTCATGTCTCTGTTGTTCAATTTTTCCAGCAATTCGACTTGATCGTTTCGCGTTTGCCATCTTGGCTGCGTTTGCAAGTTCGCGGTCTCGTTGCTGTTCCCTCCGCTGCCGAGATTGCTCTTGCTTTTCTAAAATCGGAACGAGATGCTCTTCTAGCTGGTCCCTTAGAATCTTTTCGTTTTCGTCGCGTGTCTTGCGGAAGCCGTCAACAACAGCTCGTACGTCGTCCAAAGTTACAGCAAGGCATTCCCATATCATCCCGCCGAGGCCAACGTCTTCCGAAAGCATTTCATCCTTCGTTTCTTGATCTGTTTCGGTCGCCTCTTCTTCGGCGTTCATATTGCTGCGCCGTCGTTTATTTGAGCGTCGGCTGCCATATGTTACTCTTGACTTTTTGGGTTTGACTGTTTTGACGGTTGGCGGGGCTTCTGTAAGTCGGTATATTCGGTTGTCGTCGAGCACAAAATACGTTCGATCATTCGCATCCCAACCGTAGGGTTCTATTCGCTATACCGGTGTTAGTAAGTGATGTAGGCTTGTAGTGGAATTCACTTGCCCAACTTGTTTGCTCGGCATCCTTTTGTTCTTCCATTTTATCGCGGATACGCTCAGGGTATATCATCACCCATTGTGTCAGCTGTTGCATGACCTTAATCTTAAGGGAGCATATGTTAGTCTCCAATGCTCAACAGTGCATTGCATAGAAAAAGGGCTAACCTTTGTAAAAATATCAAAATCGTTGAATTTCTGGGGTGCATCGGCAGAACCAAAAGGGTTGTAATTTGGCGATCTGTTCGCAAATTGCTTGCGCATTTGATCGTCGAGGATTTCGTGTCTATAATTGTAAGTTAGCAATAGGATTTGCTAATCAAGTCGTGGAACATACGTTAAACCACGATGCGACGAAACGAGTTTGAGAAGAGCAAGGGCAATATCTGCCAGCATGGTCGAGTTTGGTTTCAGGCACTCTGCCTCGATCTCCTGTGAAATGGAATGAGTAACGATATAAATGACAAAAAGAGGACCTGGGTTTATCTGCGGTCATACCTCGACGTCAATGGCCTCGTCGATTTTCGCAGCCTTGCCAAAGATATAAATCCATTGGCATAGATTTGCAAACTGCCACATATTACGAATGCGATGCTGCAAGGACGGCTCATTTTCGCCGTCATCTCCTTCGATGGCTGCGAGCGGGCGTTTTCGAGAGGGCATGGTGGAAAATTAATTGGTGATGTCGATGTAAGGACGATATCCAGTCGCGTCACAAATGTTCGAAGCGTGTTTAGGTGTTTCCGAGGTCGCGAAAAGATCCACCGAATGTGGCGCAGTCAGCCACAACCACATGCCATGGATAGAGCTTACGACATACACTTCAGGGGACTAAAAGTTCCCCACACTGTAACGGGTAGTTCTATAAAAAGCATAGAACGGCTTTTCACCACAAAGATGCAGGAGGCCGTCGTACATAGGTACAGTGCGTTAGAGCTGCGGTACTGTCACCCTCCTAGGTACATCTTGGCACTCCTGAGAAATGAGAAGAGAAGGGTGCAAGAACCCAGACTGACTAACTCTTCTTAATCCAATGCAAATCATAGTATATACGCTGCTTATTCTTTGAAGCATTGACGATGCTTTATTGTCGCGACGCCTTCCATATACCCGATCTTTCTTGACATAGGACATTGCTGGTGAATTATTAGTCCCTTGTCTACTGGTCCATGTCTTCGAACTCTTGGGATCAAGACGGGCGCCCTGCGCGCCGTCAGTCTATCCCGCTACAGGATTTAGATGGATCGCATGTCGATAATCACCAAACCCAAGCCGGGCTTTTCTACCAACAGCCGGCCTCATCTTCCCTCTCCGATACTCCTCAAATGTCAGCTAACGCCCCTGGTATCTCGACATATTGGGATCAACCCTATGATCACTTCAACGATGATGTTAGCCCAGGATCGCCTATAGATCCCATGGCCTTACAATCAGCTTTGCCGCCTGGTATGGATTATCATGAACGAAGTCCACCACTGCCCTCTACGCCCGTCCGTACCTACGACCCTCCTGCTCCATATGTCGAAGATGCGCCGAGTACCGATTACGCCGAATCCGATCGAGTGCCCTTGACAGCTGGCGTTGAGCCCATCTCCGGTTCCTTGTCCGCCAATAACCTGGACAGCCGGAATCGAGATAGTTTTCAGACCGTATCGAGCGTAGAGAATAGCCCATCTCGCGGCCGCAGCACAAGAAGTTTGGGCGAAGATTTGAGAGCCAGCTATGGCTCTACTCGAAATCGTAACTTTGGTGCTTCTCTCAACCCGAATGAGTACGGAAGACCCAGGTCACCTTCCGCATCAGGTGCCCTGTCGCGCGCTGGATCGATTGTTCGGGCAATGTCACAACGTGTCGTCAATATCAGTGGAGAGACCGAGGTTATCGATAATCGGGCGTCCAGGCATCGCTCACGTTCGCCTGTCGGGCGTAGTCAAGACAGGAACCGGGATACTGTTAATTCGCTATTCGCCGATACTTCATACCAACCACAACTGGTTCGTTCATCTAGCGAAAAGTCCACGCAGCCACGCTTTGGCGTGGAAGAAACTGCAGACCCAGAGCTGCCAAGGCCACCTCTTCCGAACCCTCTGAAAGGAAAATCCTTGGGTATTTTTTCTCCAAATAATCCATTGCGGCTGCGACTTTGCGATCTTCTAGTCAACCCATATACCGAACCTTTCCTTTTGCTTTTGATTGTCTTGCAGGCAATCCTTCTGGCAGTCGAGTCTGCCCCAAGTGTGTTCGAGAATGGCCGTCCTGAGCGATGGGGCAAGCATGCTATCGACTGGGCCATGCTCGCACTTTTTATAATTTTCACTCTCGAGATCATTTCGCGCACCATAGTTTCCGGGTTTATACTCAATGCACCAGAGTACAGCACGATTGACCGCAAGCGTGGTATCCGAGCTGCAATTGCAGACCAATATCGTGCCGTTTTCCAGCCCGAACGGATCAAATCGGTAAAAAAGGCGTCACAATACAACCCAGAACCATCGGCTATCTCTCGTTCCTTCACGACCTTCATGCAGGGCCAGCAGGCCTTGCCAAGAACTCTGGAAGAACACCAGAGGTTTCAACTTGCTCGCCGGGCATTTTTACGACATTCCTTCAACCGGTTCGACTTCGTCGCCGTCGTTTCGTATTGGATCACTTTCTGGTTGAGCGTTTCTGGACTTGAAACTAAACATGACATGTACGCCTTTCGAATGTTGAGTTGCTTGCGAATTCTGCGGTTGCTGGCATTGACAAATGGTACTGCAGTAAGTACATGGTGATTGATGATGATGTGAAAATGAGCTTACAAGTTGTTAGATTATTCTTCGGAGTTTGAAAAAAGCGACTCCGTTACTGGCCCGTGTCGCTTTTCTCATCACGTTCTTCTGGTTGCTTTTTGCCATCATTGGCGTGCAAAGTTTCAAAGCCAGTCTGAGTCGGCAATGTGTCTGGTTAGATCCGCTTGAACCTACAAATCTAGAGGCTTCGTACACGAATGACGAAGCCTTTTGTGGCGGCTACTTGAACAATCGGACAGGGGAGACTATGCCTTGGCTCAAGTTCAACAACTCAGAGTCCTTGACAGACCTTATGAATGGGACCAAAGAAGGGAAAGGATTTCTGTGCCCTCGAGGTTCCATTTGTCTACAGCAGTCCAACCCACAGAACGGGACTGTCAACTTCGACAATATATTCAACTCCCTGGAATTAGTATTTGTTATCATGAGCGCCAATACGTTCACCGATCTTATGTATATGACAATGCGCTCTGATTATTTCCAAGCCGCACTCTTTTTCGGTGCAGGAACCATGATCATGATGCTTTGGCTGACGAATTTACTTATCGCCGTCATCACATCATCCTTCCAAGTTATTCGAGAAGAGAGCAAGGCTAGTGCATTCACAGTCAGCGAAGAACCACCCGTTCAAGCACATTCTGATGAAAGACTTCGCCGCACATCATCGTTGCAACGTGTCTACCACAAGACCAGGGCAGGTTGGATTCTTGTTATTACCTTCAGTTTAATATGCCAGGCTTGCCGTAGTGCAACCATGTCATCAAGAAGAGCACGGATCATTGATACGGCAGAAATAATTGTTACCATCCTTCTTGATATAGAAATGATCATTCGGATTGTTACTGATTGGAACTATTTCCATAAAAGCTGGCGGAATATTTTCGACCTGGGGCTTGCAATTATCACCTCTGTCATATTAATACCTCCAATTCGCCGTACAAGAGCGTACTGGTGGTTGACAGTCTTCCAAATTCTTCGGGTCTACCGCATCGTTTTGGCAATACCCGTAACACGAGAACTCATTCTACTGGTTCTAGGAAACGCTGCCGGTATTGGAAACCTGATGTTCTTCGTTTTCCTCATGACCTTCTTGGTTGCGATCTTTGCTGCGCAACTATTCCGGGGCCAGATACCTTTGTATGAAGATGGTGATCTCAATCGCATATCGTTCTACACCATCTACAACTCATTTCTAGGTATGTACCAGATTTTGACGAGCGAGAACTGGACAGAGATCCTCTATACTGTCACATCGTATACAAGACACAAAAACACTGCTTGGATCGGAGCTATCCTATTGATTGGGTGGTTTATTGTGGCCTTTTTCATTCTCGTCAATATGTTCATTGCTGTCATTCAAGAGAACTTTGATGTATCTGAGGATGAGAAACGGCTTCAGCAAGTCAAGGCTTTTCTTCAAAGGCGCGATCTTGGTGCTTCTTCCAGTAACCTGGCCCTGTCTACCATCTTTGGTTTTTCGAAATATCGCAAGAATAAGGACCCTCTCGATTATGGGCCTGCGACGGTCGAGATGCTCCTCAAAGACGCGGTTGTTCGCGAGTTCTTAGACGATCAGATGAACCCAAAACCGGAACATCATGCTCCTGTTAGAAGTGCGACCACGCTTTTAGGTGGTGAGATCAAGCCCGGACGAATTTCCGCCGTCTGGGGAAAAATTAAAGACTGGTTCAGCGATAAGGAACCGAATCCGTTTTATTCGAGCTTGAGATTTGATGGCGCGAATGACACCTCCGACCCTCGACAAATGGCCGAGCAGGCTATGTCTGCAACGATGACTCGAAGAAGAACCCAGAGAGAATACCTTGCCAAGTATCCCAACTACAACAACTCGTTGTATATTTTCACACCTAACAACAGCCTGCGCCGGCTTTGTCAGCGGGTTGTTGGCCCTTCTCGTGGTATCGAACGAATCGATGGTGTGGTACCTGATACCGTGCTTTGGTATTGTTTTACGATCTTCGTATATACCGCGATCGCGGCCATGGTCATTCTTGCATGTATCACCACTCCTCTTTACCAGAAGGAATATCAAGAACAGCATGATTTCAGTATTAGGAACTGGTACATCTGGACTGATATGGCCTTTGCCATCGTTTTCACACTGGAAGCTGGGATCAAAATCATTGCAGACGGGCTCTTGTGGACCCCGAACGCATTTTTGCGCAGCTCGTGGGGGTTTATGGACTCTATTGTCTTGGTAACCCTCTGGATCAATGTTGTCACGCTTCTCATCAACGATGGCGCCATTTCCAGAGCCATCGGCGCATTCAAGGCCCTTCGTGCTCTCCGTCTGCTCAATGTTAGCAATAGCGCTCGGAACACCTTCCACGATCTTATTATCGTTGGTTGGTGGAAGATCTTGGGTGTAAGTGGTATCCCATCGTTTGTGGTCATGCCTTGCTAATGGAATTTTATAGGCTGCCTTCGTTTCCTTGTCTTTGCTCATCCCGGCTGCCATTTACGGCCTCAATCTATTCAACGGCCTACTTTTATCTTGCAACGATGGTGATGATGGAATCAAGACTATGGACAACTGCTACGGGGAGTTTGAAAGCACACCGTTCAGTGATGATTGGCCAATGCTTGCCCCTCGTGTTGCTGCAAATCCTTTCTTCAGCTTTGACGATTTTGGTTCATCTTTGTTCATCCTCTTTCAGATTGTCAGTCAGGAAGGATGGACGGATGTATCCTTCGCTGTTCAGGCTATCACAGGCCGGATGGAGCAACCTTCTGACCTGGCCTCGCAGGGAAATGCCGTCTTCATTGTCATTTTCAATCTGCTGGCGACCGTCTTCGTGCTCACCCTGTTCATCTCCGTGTTCATGCGCAACTACACAGAGCAGACTGGCGTGGCTTATCTGACGGCTGAGCAGCGCTCATGGCTCGAATTGCGGAAGATCCTGCGCCAGATTTCGCCTTCTAAAAGCTCTTATGATGATTCCGAAAAGAGTTGGAAGAAGTGGTGCCACAAAAGAGCCATTGAGAAGAAGGGCAAATGGTATCGGACAATCACAGTCATTCTAGTACTGCACTTGATTGTTCTTGTTTCAGAGTTCGCCGACGAGCCGTGGTGGTGGACGAGATACCGTGACTTTGTTTTCTTCGCCTTCATTGTGGCCTATACTATCAACATCGCGATTCGCATCATTGGTCTAGGCTGGGTACGATTTAGACGAAGCTCATGGGACCTCTACTCTCTTTTCATTGTCTTTGGCGCTTTTGTTTCGACCTTTGCCCTCTTGATTTCGGATACCGACCTGGAAGCATACGTTCAGCTTCACAAGGTTTTCTTAGTAGCCATTGTGCTGTTGCTTATTCCCCGGAACGACGCGCTAGATCAACTTTTCAAGACTGCCGCAGCCAGTCTGACGGTAATTGGCAACTTGCTTGCGACCTGGCTGGTATTCTTTCTTGTTTTTGCCATTGCAATGACCCAGGCTTTCAGCTTGACACGGTTTGGAGAGGAGACAGATGGAAATATTAATTTCAGAACCGTTCCCAAGGCCTTGATTCTATTGTACAGGATGAGTCTTGGCGAGGGATGGAACGCGGTCATGGAAGACTATGCCGGTATTGAGCCGCCGCTTTGCGTTATTGATGAAGACAATTTCTTCAACAGTGATTGTGGCAGCAAATCTTGGGCAAGAATTCTGTTCATTGCTTGGAACATTGTCAGCATGTATATCTTTGTGAATCTGTTTGTATCACTCATCTACGAAAGCTTCAGCTATGTCTTTCAACGCTCGAGTGGCATGGCAGTTGTGGATAGAGATGAGATACGACGGTTCAAAGAAGCTTGGCGCAGCGTGGACCCGGCAGGCACTGGATACATCACAAAGGCGGCTTTCCCTCGGCTGCTGGGCGAGCTATCAGGCGTCTTCCAGATGCGTATTTACGATCCTGAGGACAGTGTTCATTCCATCCTGGAGGACATCAGGGACGATGTGAAACTGACGCACCATTCATCGATTGCAACAACAAGCGGATTTAGCGGTATCGACTTGAACAAATTAAACGCCAGATTGAGACTCATTGACTCGGAAAAGGTCCGGTATCAGCGTCGGCGATTCAATACTTTCTACGAGGAAGTTTTGGTTTCCGCAGACCCGGATAGGGGCATTTCTTTCACGAGTGTGCTCATGATTCTGGCTCACTATAATATTATCAGCGACAACAAGAGTTTGAGGTGAGTTCTTCAATCTAGACCGCACCCTTGGTCTCAGTTCTAACCGAATGCACAGGCTCGAAGAATTTCTGAGACGCCGAGCACGTCTCCAACGAGTTGACGACCAAGTCCGACGTGGCGTGGTCTTGGGCTTCTTCGACACATTGTAAGCTACAGAACTTCAACTCTGAGAGACTTCGTTAGCCACTAACACCGCTACAGGTATTACACACGACAATTCAAGAAGCACTTAATGCGCAAGCAATCAGCGCGGATGACTGCCGTGCCACAGTTAAATATCCCCGAGATCATGGTCGAGAACGATTTGAGTGAGGATGAAACCGGCAGAGCAGGATCAAGATCTCCTCTTTCACCAACCTCACGCCCATCGAGTGTCGACGCAGGAGAGCCACGCAATTGGTTGGCGTCTGTGGATCTGTCGTTACACGATACATCATGGAGTCACCCTCTGAGCTTCCCCAGAGCTGCACCTCCATCACCAACGGTGCCTTCTCAACCTTCGGCCTTCAGTTTCGAGATTGAAGAGGACGAACCTCAGCAGCCTACAACGCAAGCGAGAACCTCGGCTCCCACGGGACGTGAAAGTAATCATTTGGATCCAACCAGCCCTATGCAAGTCCGGGGAATGCTTGATGATTCGGTTTGGGGTGAAAGTATCCGCCGAAGTGCCACAGTTAGGCAGACACAGAATCGGTCATAGAAGGACCATGACGAGTTTCACCAATGATGAAACCGAAAGGCGTAATGGAAGAGAGGATAGGGACGAGATGCTATACACATCAGATGAGAGGAGACCAGAATATTGCAAGGCGTTTTCTTTTCTCTTCTTTCTATTCTAATGGGATAACATGGCAACGCATTGAATGGAAGGCAAATCCAGGACGATGGACTCATCTGTGGCATGATTCAAAGCTAGGTACGGCGTTCCAGGTCAGTTAAAGGCTTAGAGCAAAAGGGGGAAGCAAACAGGGTGTCCCTGGCTAGGTACGAGAATTTGTTTCGGTCGATCAAAAATAGACATCTGCTTTTTTTATGCACAAGACGGTATATGTGTCGTCCGTGCCACGGCATGCAACATCCAGTTAAGCATCCAACCAGGTCTGGTCCTGAGGCTCGTTTGATCAACCCAAGAGTGTACTATGTATCTGTCTGCGACAAAGAACCCTTGCTTTCGTAGTAACAGTTTGCAAGCGACTGTTTCAGCTGCTAGTCACAATGTTGAAATGATCCGTGCGTACACCCACATTCCCGTCCTCAACCACCCTTGGCAATCTTGATACAAACGACAAGGACGGTGCGGCATGCTTAGGATGATCCTTTTTTGGGTCTTGTGTCCTAGATAAAGGCACGACATCTTTCCCTTTTGCTTTGTCTGTTTTGCCTTTGCATTCATCCAAAGAAACATCGTTCAGTCTTTCGTTGACAAACACAAAGAGTCGTCGGTAGAAACATACCAAAGGCTGTGCCTCTGTTTTCTATCCTTTGATCTCGTTCACTCTTTCAAGAAGAATCTGATTTATCACGTTACACGACAACTGCTGGACAGTACGCACTTTACACGACTACAAAGAATCATCACCATCATCATTCCCATCAACATCACATACGACAATACAGTCTCACGTAACGAGACCTATTACTGCATTCGACCCTATCATAAAAAACATCACAAGATGGCTCACAACACCCGCTTTGAAACCATGGCCTCTCGCTTCTCACCCTCTCGTCTGCGTAACTCCCTACGCCGCAGCTCTTCAGCCTCCACTTCCACACAAGCATCATACTCATCCGTCAACACGATGGGTTCATCTGCTGCCGCTACCATCAACAGCGTCATCTCCCGACAGCCTTCTCTTTTGAGTCTAGAAGCCGAGCGCAAGAGCTTCGGAAGTGAGCTGAGTCTTCTTGAACCCAGACCCATTGTCTACTGGGGCAGTGTAGAGGAGCGTATGAGATAGTGTGTCACTCACTCACTATCTTGATGATTCAATATGAAGGGTTACTGTTTGATGGTTTCAATGTTTAAGAGAGATGTACTTTTGTGTGGGAATTTAACGTTGTTTTGGCCTTGCCTCTTAAGTCTCTGACAGGTCAATTCAGAAAGGGAACCGAACAGGATAGGCGTTTGTGGTATATATGGGTTTCTTATTATTCAATTCTTGCCGAGATACCTTTCGGTATGATACAGACATATAGTCTTACTGGACTTCAATTCTACATTTAAATTTAGATTCAGATTCAAAACCACTCGAACTTTTGCTCCCTCTTCCAGTGTTGCAGGACCAAAACATCCGGTTTCATGATAATTGTTGACACTTCCAACTCATAGTAATGTTCTCCTTCGCTTGTGAGCTATGCAGGGGTGCGAAACGCATGTCACGGCCCACAAAGACCCCTGAAATACCCGTGCCGATGTCAGCATTTGCAGCGATACGGATGCCACTTTTGATCGACATTCCAAAGCCAGTCAGAGTCAGTGCATCGTGACGTGATGGTACTGCTAAAACGGCTGTCCACAGGACGACGATGCAAGTAGAAAAATCTGCTACTCCAATCCTAAGAAAATCGGCAAAAAGCCTCGTAGAGCAAAAGGATATTAATCGTCTGAAGAATGTCTGAGAGTCGATGAATCTGCCGGCTTGTGATGGGAAGGTATTAATGCAAAGTGACATGGTATGACCTGATGCCACCCCGCGAAACGCAGGGGAGTGTCCATTATTGCTGGCCTGCTCGACTCCGTTACGGATGGACGATCGGTCGTTCACGCCTTCGAAAGCAGCGGGACAGTTTGATTGTCGACCTGATGCTCAACAAGAGCAGCAACACCGTGATACAGCTTACTTGTCACGAGCCACACGGCGCTCGTGGCCAGAACCAAAGCCACTGCCATGAAGACAAGTACGGTAGACCTCATTTGAAAGGCCTCTTCTGCTTCCATCTTCATGAGCTTCTTCTGCTTGCTGTGATAATGCCAGCGACCATGAGCATAGTGGTCGCTGTGCCCAATATGTTGATAGGGCTGAAGAAGCCATCGAGGTATCCATCTTGCCTGTTCGCTACCCGTGGCGTAGAAGTTGTTGCGACTAGCAGTGTGACGGAAATCAACCAGAAGAAGCGAGAGCAGGAAAACGGTAATATTGATTGGTGTCATGACAAGCTAAAGATGGGCTTTGTTAGCCACCTGGTTCGTTCCATTTTGTTTCATTTCAACGTGGGAACGACGAGGTTTTTTGTCTTGATATAAAAGGGCATAACCTCGAAATAATTTTTAATAGAAACAGATAGACTGGACACACACCGAGTAAAGCGTCGAAGGCTGGTTATTGCCAGCATTTTCTGGTGGAGGACCGATCTTGGCCATGGTGGTAAGTATAGGAAGTTAGAACGAGCGTCAAGATTTCCTAGTTCAACGGTGGATTGAGCAGAATTGAAATGCAAAGACGCAAAAAAAGAGGTTGTCTGAGTGTTTGTACCGAGTTCAATCAGTGCATAAGTGAATTGATAGGTACCTAAAAGTAGGCAATAAACAAAGATCTGATGAGCTGAGTGCGGTTGTGGCTCATTTCCAGTTACGTAGCCGCCCCAGTGAGGAGTGAGGTCATCGCCTTGTCTCAACACCCACAGGATTCCCGAGCCTCCCGATCATCATAACCTCAATCTAGCCCTTGGAATTAGCATAGTTCTCAGCTGTAGATCCCTGTTCCCAGAGAACTGGACATCTGGAAAATAAGCTCTCTAGAAGCCTTAAAGGTTGAAAAAGAAGCACCAGCACCACTTGTGCTTAGCCATGGCATAGCTTTCACCTGCATGGGTAGTGTATTATCGTCCTCAGCTCTCGCCAAGCCACCATTTCACAGTAATCAGCCTCATTATACTACGACGTATGTAGCGCCGATCTTTTCTAGCCAAGCTTAAACTCAGGCACAACTCCATCATCTATCTGCATTGGGAAAAAGAAGGAAAGAAGACCATTCAGAAGTTTCAACTGGAAAATCCTGTTACAGCAAAGGTAACATAGTGGTTTACGTGTAGCCTAGATTACTATACGTTTTCACTCCATCTATTTTAACTTGTCTTAGTCCATATCCAGTCAGCCATTGAATTTCCAAAGCGCCGTTTGCCCATATAAGACCCATGCCTACCGGTACCGACCTATGCATACCAACGCCCTCGTGTCTGATCCAGTACAGCCGTTCAGTCTATATTGTCCCCATTTATCGCGCGTTGTGAATATCGAGTACAAGAATGTCCTCAGCGCCTAGCCGGGTCAGATCGTCCATCACAAGAGCAATCTTCTTCTTCTCAACCATGGAACTGACAGCGACCCAACCCTCCTCATCGAGAGTCGTAACTGTGGCCGATCGCTTCCCAGGGGTGATCTTGGTTGCCTCGACCAGACGGCTTCGCTCTATGTTGTACTGGCAAAGGACGTAGCTCTTTGCGGTAATGACACCTCGGATACGTGAAGTGATGAGGTCAATAAGCTCGGGGTTGGAGGGCGTTCTCGACTTGATCAGCACAGCAGTGGAGTCAACCACGGTATCAATTGCCTTGAGGCCAGCAGCACGCATAGTCTCTCCAGATTCTAAGAGAATTCCTTGTCAGTCATTGTGTTTGGCCATAGACAAGGTCTGTCACATACCAACGAGATCAACAATACCCTCGGCAACACCAAGAGCACAAGCAGCCTCGACACTGCCACTCAATTCTACAATCTTGGTGCGCATCTTACGGGGCGACAGTTCACCATCGGCGTTGTCACCCTGCTCAAGCTTGAGGAAGTAGTCGGCAGCAAGGCTAACAAAGCTAGTCCCAATGGTCTTGCCAACAAGATCCTGGGGGGTCTTGTACTGGCCCTTCTCGGGAACCTGAACCTGGAGCTTGCAGCTTCCAAAGCCCAGCTCCATGACCATGTCAGAACCAGCAACCTTGTCCTCGGTAGAATTCAGGTCAACTGAGCTGCGTCGCAGTTGGTTGTAGGCGCGAACCGAAGCATCGTGTTCCTGAACTTGGTCCCATCCAGTGATTCCGAGATCGCAACGGCCTTCGCCAACAAAGGTGGGAATGTCGGCAGCGGGGAGAAAGATCAGAGCGATTGGGAGGTTCTTTACGAGAGCAATGTCGAGGCGGTTCTCGCGGCGGAATTGGACGTCGGCGCCCTCGAGGAGGTTAAGTGTAGCAGCATTGAGTCGGCCCTCTACCAGGACATTAGCATCGTCGTCACATCTGCAGTCGGAAGAATAGAATCGACTTACTCTTGGGGACAGCGAACAGAAGACGGCCTTCGAGACTGGAGAGAATTTCACATTAATTAGTGTCTAGGTATTTGGAACGTGGGATGTCAAGGATTGAGTGATCAACTCAAACTGTCCAAAACGGGGCAAACCAACCTGTTGACGAGATCCATGGCGGGTTGGTTATTATAGGTAGACAAGGTAGTGGTCAGGATATGTTTTCCGTTGGACTTGAGTTTGAATTAGGTAAAAATCACAATATGGTTAATGTAGAGCCTGTACGTAGAGAGCAGTCGGGGAATTTATTACTGTCTGCTATGACTGCTAATGACTCCGAGTGCGGGGCTCTCATGTCAAAACGATGGCGGGGCTCATAACGTTGATTGAGGCCCCGAGCGTGGATGGGCGCTGAAGAGACATGATTGGGGGTTTGGTCAGGTACCACTAAAGCGAACCACCACTGACGCAGGCTGCCCGACCATCGGGGCTGGGGGGTTCGGGATAGTGGAGGCCCACCAATTGTAAGACACAGAGATAACACGATGTTGAGCACTTGATTGAGGGCGTCTTGAGTCGGTAGTCGAGAGCAAGTCAATTGATTGATGCAAGCAACGTGTATTATGGAAGATTGAGCAAAGCGTTCTTGTTTATTAGGGATTAATTCAGATTATAGTTACCCAGCATTCAAGCATTAAATTGCTTAAGTACTTCTACTAGACAGATGCAATAAATAGAGGTAGGTAGGTGCTAGTGCTAGGCAAGACAGTTGGTTCAATCCATCCGAAGTTGTCCCGCCTCATTGACCTTTAACATTTTACAATTGAGACAGGGACAGGGATGAACAAATGGCAGTCGAGGCTCGAGTCTGTTCCGTGGTGGGTCGAGTTCCATGGATACAACAGAGAAATTGGTATGTATCTAGAATGAACTACAAGGATGAAAAAAGTTGAGTAAAGACTTGTACTCCAGCAAGCATAGCAACCCCCAACTCCATCCAAAAGATATCTGGTCTCATGTGGTGAGAAAGAGTGGCTTATTTTTGCTCCACAGGACTCTGTTTATTCTCACGATAAGAACTGGAAGGCATATGCCAGTGTGCATCCTTGTGTTACACACATGAGACAGCTGCTGTCTTGTGAGCACATTACTCTGTCAGTATGTAAGTGGCACTGGAGGGAGAGGTAAGTGGCTTGCTGCGTTTGTTCGCATATGCATGCACCTTTCTTTTCTTCTCTTCCTACATACAACACGGAGTACAAAGTACAGACAAGCCAGTTGCCTTGTCACCTCCTCCAAGGCACTGTACTGTAAGCACATAGCTACAGCTACCTACAGCTACAGCTATAATGGATAGAATGCACGCTAGTTGAACCCCGAAGACCCAGTCCTTGTTCGAGGTCTCAGTCTTTCCAGCTTGGAGTCGGTTCTTCTCTGACATGTCTCCCAGATTGGCTTAAGCCTTCTATGACATCGCGTGAGTTTGTAAAGTAACAGCCTAGTGTTCGGACATGCCTACCTTGGAGTTGCCCTATGCCATAATAGATCGGAATGACATACCTTAACCATGGCCTTGGGATAAACTGAAATCCTTGTGGCGTAGGGAACAAAGTTCAGCGCGCCCGACCATTACGGTAATAAAAAGGTTCTTGTAATATCTGAACCAAGACTTGGGAAGCCTTGGGGAGCCCACCCAGTGGATGAGACAAGGAGATTGAGACTCTTTTTAGCGCTCCCGGGCCGCGCTACTCGAGAGCTAAGAATTTCAATTTACACTTTACCTTCAGCCGGGCTTCTGGGTTCTCCACCAACTGACTTATTTCCAAGTCTACATCCACTAACTCACCTTACCTCACCTCACCTAACGTCCATTGCAACACACACAGTACAGTACCTACCGATACACCTGCGTTTGGGAAGAGACATCATAATCGTCGGCCTCTCCATTTGGTGGCTTTCCTGTCTTGGCGCTTTCTTCTTTCTTCTTCCTTCTGGCCACTTAGATACTTGATTGCATCTTTTTTTTTTCTTCTTCTTTTTTTCTTTTCGTTTTCACTACCTTGCTTTTTTGTCCTTGCTTTACTTTCCATGCTTCGCTAGGGACGGACCGAACGGGGAAACGGACGAACGCAACGCAACGCACAAAGCCTACCTACACAGCAAAGCGAAGCGAAGTAGCTATCAGAGCACTTTGCTCTTATAGCTCGCCTTGTCCGCTCAACTTTCTTCTCCTCTTCGCTTCGTCCTCCACAGATCGTCCTTCTTCGGATATCTACTTATTTACCTATCTGTTCCCATTTGTATATATATACCTACTTATACTCGCTACCGTCGACCGCAATCGCAGTCGCAATCGCAATCTGCAATGAACTCGTCGTATCACCCTCCCGACATGTCGCAGCGAATGCCTGGCCCTGGCTCTGGCTATTCGTCCACCGTACCGCCACCTATTCACGCATACCAACAACAGCAACAGCAACACCCTCCGCCGTCTCTTCCACCTCCACCGCCGGCTCAGCATCACCATTCTTCTCATGCTCCTCCTCCGCCACCGCCGCCTCCGCCATCTTCTCACTCGCTGTCGTCGCATCAACACCACGCTCCTCCACCGCCCCATCACCATTCTCCTCCGCCGCCCCATCACCACTCTCAACTTCCGCCATATCCTCCAGCTCAATACCAACAGCCTCATCCGAGCCAATACCCCCGACCTCATCCACTTCCTCCCTCGCGGAACGATGAACCTCCTCCGCCATCCTCAGAGTCATCTCCCAGCGATCAGCACGAGAAAGCCAAATACGAACCACCATCTTTCTCTAAAGTTGAAGAAGGCACAGGCTTGAAGTATAGGTTGGTTACATATAACCTCTAGAAGTGTCATCTCGTTCTTTTAGCTAAACGAGCTTGCTAGTCTCGATGTACAACAGCAACCCATACGTGCGCGCATGTGCGGTTTTGGCGACAAGGTGCGCTTGCTTCCCGTCCATGATTTTGTCCATCCTTCTCACAATTACCGTATAGGATCGCCGCCCAATTACGCCGCCACCGTGTGTTCGTCTTGTCATAATCGACAGTGACACAGGGAAGGAGGTTGACTACAAGTACGTAGCACGTGCTGAAACTCGAGATACTAGCTTTCTTACTAACACGATACCTGCAGTACCCTCGATCATGCCATGTTCGTGCTGTCGGTCGATCTGTGGGATAAGGACGGTATCAAAGAAGTGAACCTTGTCCGATCTTCAACTGGGCCGGGCTCTGTGGCATCTTCGAATAATTACTCCTATGCAACTCTCGAGCCTAACACACCTTCTTACCAGCAACAAGCTCTCCCTCCAAGCCGCGAGTCTGGTTATTCGCAGGGCCAGGGACTGGGGTACGGGCAGGAGTATGCCCCCCCGATGCAACAAAACTATGGGCAAGGTTGGTTGAAACAAAAGCAATAAATGTACGAACAGCTCAATATCTGACAAATTATTAGCACCATCGTACCCATCAAACAGTTCATACGGCCCGCCTCAGCAGTATTACCCGCGACATAGCGGCTACAGTGCTGATCCTCCCGCTCCGTCGGCCGGTGCTCCTTTCCGCAATGGCTACAGCCAGGATCAGAGCGCGCTTACCCGAATGGCGGTGGTGGGAGGTCAGCCCCAGGGAATGTTCACGAGGAACCTGATCGGGAGCCTGGCTGCAAGTGCATTCCGTCTTAATGACACCGAAAAGAAAGCAGGTATCTGGTTTGTCCTCCAGGACCTGAGTGTTCGTACTGAAGGCACATTCCGGTAAGAGCGAGAAAATAGCTATTGGGCTGTGCGAGTGTCGAATTTTTTTTTTTCCAATGCTAATTTTGAGCTTCTAGATTACGCTTCTCGTTTGTCAATGTTGGAGGCGGCCCTGGTAAGGCAAATAATGTCAACCAAGGTCGAGCACCAATCTTGGCCTCGTGCTTCAGCCAGGACTTCAGCGTGTATTCGGCCAAGAAATTTCCTGGTGTATGTGAAAGTACACCTTTGAGCAAAACATTTGCGCTTCAAGGCATCAAGATCCCGATTCGAAAAGATACAAACATTAAAGGTGAAGGCGATGACGAGATGATATACGATCAGAACTGAAAAGACTATTTGGTGGCTGAAAATATCCCTTGGCGCTGATGACTGTGTCAAAATTGAGCTGGTTCGAATCATTTAGAAGCATTATACCCGCAAGAGATGGAAGGAAAGGCATATGTGGTAAACAATACTTGAAGAAGAGATTAAAACATGGTCCTTCTTGGTTTTGTGTTGAGGATGAACTGCCAACGGGTGCATAGATAGATACTGGAGACCTCTCCGATCTACAAGGTCAAGGGTTGCGCAATTGGGGAGGCATACCGGCGTCGGCGTTTGGGACTGATCGATGATTACTCTACCATACAATTTGGTCTCGGATCTGCTCTGTGTTTGCAATATAAAATAACAAATATCTACAAATCAATGTGTGAGTCAGGACTGGGAAAAGCTCTCAGGTTTGGCAGGATCAACAATGGAGCGCAACGGTCGAACTGAGCAAAGCTACTTAGGTAGTCGCAACAACTCATGGTCGAGCCAGGGTCCAAGAGCAAACGTCATCACACTTGGACAAGCTTAGCCACTATTTTCAGGGTCTTGATGATCAGCATGGGAGCAGCCCTACCCTGCTGAAGACCCGAAATCGACACGAGCCAATATTTTTGAATAAGATAAGCTCGCACTACTGGTCTTTTCCATACCTAAGCTGTGAGCCAACAAATTAACCCAACCCATTGTTTACTTGGCCGAAAAGCTTTAAAAAAAATTGGTGAGTTCCATGGGTACCAAGGTAGCTGACGGAGAATTTCACTGTCATACCTGCTTACATGAAAACTCATGGACATGGAATGGGAAAAGCTTTCGCGAATCTGGCCAATGATTGCAAGGACGCATCAAACATCATGCACAGTAGCTTAGTACTACAAGGTACAGACAGTACTGAGGTCCAGATCTCAAACTGCTCGCTTCCTTTCAGCTAGTGACCGAGTTTGACTGATCAAAAGCTTGTATTGGCTTCGTACATGTCAGGTATCCTGCCAAGATCTGGGGCAGCACGCGGTCTTCAAATTTCATTACGCAACCAAATTTGTATGACTGGACGTGGCTTCTTAGTGCAGATACTTAGTGGAACTGGTATACGAATACTTGGCTCTACTTGGTTCTACTTGTTCTAGACTTGGTGACTTGGCTGAGCTTTAACTGAGCCTCATTCTTTAAAAGACATGGGTGGGCTAAAAACAAAGCTTTTCTGGTCTACCTATGGTTTTCAAAGAAATTGAGGCATCGACTGGTTGATACGTCGCCAAACAAATATCGAGAGCAAGCCCAGCTTACGCCCAGTGAATTACAGAAGCTCGCCTCAATGAGAATCCTCCAGCCCAGCTTCGGACCAGCCTAACGTGCTTAGGTAGTGACCACAAGGTCTGGCCAGGCTAGGCTATTGGATAGTCTGTACACTTTTTGGCTGGGCGCAGCGGTTCCTGGCATTTGGTGGGTGGGAAAAGGGCGACTTAGTACATTAGTGGCCAAGTACCTATCGAATTTTTTTCTTTCCCCTGTTTTGTTGATCATGGGAACACGTCTTACAGGTAAAAGACAGGGCAGGGGAAATTTTTGGCACCGAATAACGACATCACGAGGACAGACTTGGCATTGAGTTAAAAGTGTCACCACCGCCGCCTAGAAGTAATGTTGGTCTTTCGTACTTTGTTTATCTGAACTACACTCTTTGCAACTGCAATTCTTTGAGAAGAATAAATAAACAGTCTTGTTGTCGGTCTGATCCAGAACTTGACTACTCAGTCCACTATATCACGGCCCACTCTCACTCACTCAAAGACAACCACAACTCCAAGTGGTCATCTCAACTTTCTCTCTCACATATCCAATAAACATCACTTCCAACAAAATGCTTGCCTCTCACGGTCGCGGCGGCGCTGGCAACATGGCCGACTCAGCCACCACAGAAAAGACAGACCCCAGCAAGCTCCACACTCCTGTCCTGAAGAGCTCCGTCGTCACTACCGGCCGAGGTGGTACAGGCAATATGGCCAAGAACGACGATCCTCGCGAGACTCGCAAGCGTCAAGACGTTGAAGCGTATGTTTCCCTTTCTACCCAATTCTAGTCTTTCTAGGGACCACCCCCTTCTTTTGAACTCGTTCACTGACTTTAGACAATAGTGTGCCCCGACGTCCTTCTTATGGTACTCAGCACTCTGGTCGCGGTGGCGCTGGCAATGTCTTCAAGGACAAGGACGTGCAACTGACACGCAAGGCCAGCAACGAAGGCGCCATCACCGACGACGAGGAACCCAGCTCTGCCACTTCTCCTAATGCCGGCGAGTCATTGGCTCAGAAAGGCAAGAACTGGCTTTTCGGTAAGAAGGCTTAACGAGCGAGAGCGTCTTCCGATCTCTCATCATCGTTCTAAGTCTCAAGAGCGAAACAGAAGTTTTCATGTTCTACTATCATTGGGTCTGGGTTTCTTTTCACAGCTTGGTGTTTTGGCGCCTTTGACATTGGACTCAGAAGAGGGGTTCTGGCTACTAAGTAATGTAGACCATACACAACACAAAATGGGGTAACGGACGGACATAGGATAGGCAGATGTAATACCTAAGAGGAGGGAACACAGAGATACCATCCTATCAAATACATTATATGCAATAAGAATAGATTTTCTCAATATTTTGCTCATAGGTACTGTTTCACTATGTTACATTTTTTCCAGGACATAGCTCTTGGTGTCCTTAGTCTTATGCTAACCCTTATTCTCTCACGCCTATTTCCACTCCTTTACAAAATCTCAAAATAATGCGAATGTAAAACATGTTCGCATTTTACCATCAGTTCTTCTTGGTAAGACGGTGGATTTCCTCAAAGTAGTGCTTAAGGTGATCAGGGTTCACGCCAGGGGTAATTCCTACCTTTGTTAGCACTCATCTTCATTAACTTCATATCGCTGAATACGCACCGTGACCAAGGTTGGCAATCCAGCCCTTGTTTCCGACCCAGAAGCCCTCGACCATCTCCTCCACAGCCTTGGTGATAGCCTCCTTGGTGCCATAAAGCACACCAGGGTCGGCGTTGCCCTGGAAAACGATGTTGCGGTCGCCTCGAATCTTGACAGCTTCCTTAGCGTCGTGCAGCCAGTCCATTCCAACAACGTTGTATCCCAGGTTACAGGCAGAGTCGAGTGCGTACCAAGCGCCCTTGGGGAACACGGTCATGGGCACCTTTTCCAAACCAAGGCTCTGGATCTTAGCAGGGAGCTTCTCTGCAATCTGCTTGAGATAAGGCTCGGAAAACTGACGGTACGAGGAAGGGCCAAGCTCTCCTGCCCACGAGTCAAAGACCATTACTAACTAAGAAGCAATTGTGTCAGTTATACACTGTCTACCACGTACGCTTTTGGGGATCTTACCTGAGCACCAGCCTTTACTTGCAGAGCCAGATGTTCGACACAAATATCAGCGATTTTGGAAAGAAGCTTCTTTGCCTCCTCAGGGTACTTGTAGATCCATGTCTTGACCTGCGCAAACAGCTTTGTGCCTCCGCCCTCGACCATATAACAGAACAGCGTCCAGGGAGCACCACAGAATCCGATCAAAGGCACTTGACCATCGAGCTTCTGGCGTGTCAGTGTGATGGCATCATAAACGTAGCCGAGCTCAGCAGCAACATCGACATCCTTGGCGAGAACCTCGCTGTACTGTCCGTCATCGGGAGTCTTGAGCGGGCTGGGGAAGTGTGGGCCCTTCTTGTCAACCATTTCGACAGTCATGCCCATGGCTTGCGGAATGACCAGAATATCGGAAAAGATGATGGCGGCATCGATGAGACCTGCAAATCGGCGGACGGGCTGAAGGGTAATTTCTGTTGCAACTTCGGGGTCGCGGCAGCATTCGAAAAAGTCTCGGTTGCTCTTGGCTTCGTGGTACTCGGGGAGGTAACGGCCAGCTGTCGACAGTTAAATAATGTTTATTCTTGATAGCAGTGTCTCTTTACCTTGTCGCATAACCCACATAGGAGGACGTTCAACGGTCTGGCCTAAGTCGCAACGCACAAAGTCTCAGCACAGCTCTCTCATGATTCTAGCAACCGAAGCGCTGATAACCCACCCCATGCTGTACGAAGCAACAGGTCGTTCTTGAGAGGTGCAAAGTCTTGCGTCATTGTGATTAATAAAATTCGCGAATAGAAGTTGTTACTACAGCTCAGGAAATAGAGGATTGCAAGTTACAGATCAGGCGGGATCTTTAAGAAGAAGTTCCAGTTAAGCTACCTATACTAACCTTATACAGAACCCCACCAAGCAATTGCCCATTTGGAATCATGTCAATGGAGGGGCGAGGGGTCCCTTCTTCATATGTCGGTAGCTGGACCAAGCTCTAGATTGGTTGTGTTGGTTGCTCGACTCCACTTCATTATTCGGTCCTCGGAACGTAGGACGGACCGACACGCTGTCATCATGGGCACAGTCAGTACCGCGCGTTGATAGCTTCATACGAGGATACGAAGCTATTCATAATTCCGTTGTTGTCCGAAAATATTCACCGACCAAGCGATTAATTAATACGATCCCGACCATTCTGTCATATTCGCAACAATGCCTTCTGAACGCGAACTCCAGATCAACCCAATTGTCCCTGAGTCTATGATTCACAACACCAAGGCCAGTAGCGACCTATCCATGATATCGATCGGCTCTGGAACATATCTGCTGACATTTTCTACGCACAGGCTCTTTCCAATCTCCACAGTCTCACTGCTTCCCTCTTCGGAGTCACAGCTGGAGTTCTCGGCCTCGAGTCCTACTACGGCTTCCTCGTCTACATCGTCTTCTCTTTCATCACCACTCTCCTTTTTTACGTCCTCAAAGTAGCCCCTGAATCGCTTCCCAAGGGTCATGCTCCTCTCGATCCTTCGCGGTTCTACCGAGGACTCTTCGATTTCTGGGTCGGCGGCATCTCCAATGGCATCTCGGGTTTCGTCTTGACGTGGACATTATTTTATGGATTGGTTAGGGCATAGGTCAACAGTACCAGGAATCTGCATCTACCTTTGGCGTCTTTGGAGTTATGATGAGAGAATTGTTAGAATGGCAACGCGGCATCCAAAAAATGAGCTGTGCCATAAAACAACTATTGTAGAATGAGAAAGTATACAAGTCAAAAACAAATCAGCAAATGCTACCGTCAATGCTACAACAATATTCTGAAAAACAAGCACGCTCAAATCGTTAGTCTACGATCTCAACGACCTTACCCACGAAACCCTCTAGCCCGGATTTATCCTGACTCCCACCTTCTAAAAGTATAACTCGTGAACCCATCTCTATCCATTCTCGGTGATGTAGAAGCTCCAGGCCCATCTCGACTCCGCCTTCACGCTTATCGCTCTCATTTCTAACATTATTCAAGTCAGGTTCATCGTTGAGGTTGAAAACCTCCTCCATCTCATCCGTGTACTCCGTCCCGGCGTGCCATCCGTTGTCTCGGTAAGATATTCGGCGGATGCGCGCTACCGTTCGAATGCTAGCAATGTATATGTTGACAAAAGAGCCAACGGCTAGCGTGTGAATGTCTGGGTCTTCAAAAACCGCCGTTAATCCGCTTGCAGCTTGCAACTTCAATCCAGTATCTGCCATATGTTTCGACGGTATTGCTAAGATCATGCCCCGGCGAATACGAGGAATCTCGGCGACAGCGGTGTGGTCTATATTGCCGTTCTGGGAACGAGTCGTTGGTGGTCGGATGTTGAGGCCAATTGACCCAGCTTGCCCGGCTTCAAGAGTTGAGACTGGAAGTCTCAGGTTACGTATGCTAACAATCTGAGCATCATGCCACTCCCCTGCAATTGCCGACGCAGATACAGCGTTCTTCATAGCAATGCGGGCCAGCTCTGCTGATGATGGATGCGAGATCGACAGTCCATAACTGCTTGGAGACTGTCTACCCTCTGGAGTCAACTCGCGAGGTTCGTCATCCTCTGGCGGAAAAGGCCCAACAACGATCTTGTCCCCAATGGAAAATTGTCCAAACCTGAGGTGGCCAGATACAACAATATCGAGGCCAGCCATTTCCCCAGAACCACTGGTCAAATTACCATAAGATGCTGATAAAGAAAAGGTATCATCGATATGAAAGAGGCACTTGGGTTGTTCCGGATTCAACGCCATGCCAATATAATCGCACGCTGTTGGTGTAGGTGGCAGTGGTAGGTTTTCCAAAAGTGCATGCAAAAGGCCAATTCCACTCCCCTTGACTGCACTCGAGAAAGCTATTGGAACAATCTCAGTCAGATTTCCACTCTCCGTGATTCCCTTCAATAAGTCCTTCACTTTGGCAGAGTCGTCATCGGGCACTCTGGTCAGGTCTCCCCCTATCTTCTGATCAGGCCGAAGGATTTTCGGTACACGCCCAGCTTCTTTGACGGCTGATAAAACCTTGTTGGTGATTTTATGCGCACTCATCTTGGAGGCGAGATCCATCTTGGTAACTACAACTGCCAAAGGAATGCCCAGTTTCAGGGACAGAGTCAGATGTGCTTTGACGAGATCAACACCGCCTGCTGAGACACCCAGGTCATTAGACACTCCTTGGCTCTTTGTGGCTACTTCCGTATCATCGGCCGCCAAACATAAGATGATCCAATGAGGAGCCCAGTTCATCAAACCACGAAGGACTGTGCGTCGATATCTTGGATGCCCCGCGGAGTCTGACACAAATACCAAGCGGCCACCTTCGGAACAGTCGTGGATATCTATCCAGGACTCAATGTTTCCATGGCTGCAGTTGAGAATTGACTGGCCCTTGTATCCGATGAGTTCCTGAGCTATCGAGCTCGTTACTCCTGTAACCATTTCGTGCCTATGCTTGAGCAAATTAAGGCGACTGTTGCCACGGCCATTGTCCAGAATCCCCGTTGATAATGTTCCCAGTAGACTCGATTTACCGGAGGTTGTAGGCCCAGTGAAAGTGACTCTCAATTGCGGTGTGGACGAACTACCACGGCTAGGCACAGCAACATTTTCTGCCGCAGAATGCTTATTGCAGGCGGTGCTGCTTTCTCTGTTTCCTCCGTCTATCAAACCGAGGTAAGGCATGACGAGTGCTTCGGCGACCCAGAGTTTGCCGCTTCTGATGACTTCATCTGGCAAGACTACATTACTGTCGATTGGTTCGGTAGACTCGGCCCATTCACAGTCACCGACGATGACTCTCCGACAAACATCGACAGTGCAGCCTAAACTTGCGGCCATGACTCTCAAAGTCGTAATACTCTCATCCATTTCGTCCTTGGTAAGGCCAACAAGAGTGCCGTCGTCGGCGACGCCTATTTCGTACAAAGCCCCTCTGGACTCTTCCAAACCGGGGACAAGTTTCCTGAGCTTCACGGGGGCAGTAAGATCAACGTTGTCGTCTGGAAGCTTGGGAAGTGCCAGTTCTTTGGAGCTGGACAAGTGATAGGGGGAAGATTGCTGTAGTCTCCACAAGAGCTGAGTCGTCAAGTGCTCGAGTCTCTGTTGTCGAGGCTGGCTGGACGCAGCGGGTGAAGGGACTGACGACTTGAGTCGTCCATGACGCGACTTGTTGGTTGTACTCATGCGCGTGAACACTCTCCGCGGTCGAAGAAGTAGATGAAGCTTATATTCCGTGGGGCCGTCTTGTGGCTCGGCTTGAAGTTTGGTCACTCCGTAGTCGGATAACAATCTGGATCCTGGCTGCCCAGGTGAATGAGAAACGTCTGAGCCTAGATGCCCAGTTTCATCCTTGCCAGAATCACCGAGCTTCATCCAAGGAGATGAGACCCTTGGAGGATCTGGATCATAGGTGAAGACAGACATGGCTGTTCCGATAGCGGATGGCAGCTCCCAAGGCGAGGAAGAGGAAAAGCAGACCAGGTTCAGGATTAGAGTGTTTTTAATTAAGTCCTTTAAGTCAAGATATTGATAATGATGGGCGCTGTAATAGATGTGATAATGTGGCGGAATGTTCAATGGCGAGAAGAGGGAGTTCGTAGTGTATTCGAGTTATCATCTTGCTAATAATTCTAAGAAATGCTCTGAGTCGTAATAAGAGATCGGTGATAATGAAACGATCACGACTCTAGGGAGGGCTGTGTTGAGGCGGTCAGTTGCCGGCTCAGGAGATTTAAAGCATGACGTAAATCAGCAAGGTAGATGTTATCCGCAGGTTGTGATTAAATAAAAGTCGATGAGAAAAGTCGAAGCAGTATGTGACAAAGCGCAACGCGCTTTTTGTAGTTGAAACAATGACTGAGATAAAAATGGATGGAACTCAAAGTCAAAATATCCAACAATACCTACTCACACAGGCTGACTGAAACGGAGAGGAGCGAGTCAGAGGTGACGCATCGGCGAAGTGACCAATTATAAGAGCTGCCCTTAACAGAGAAGGTGCGGAGAATCCATGTCTCAGTAGTGCTATGACCTCCACTGGCAGTAGGGTGTAATAATGGAAGCTCCTTTCGCCATCTTCAAAAGAACCTACCTTAGTACCTCAGTACCTGATGGATGGATTAGTAGGATTAGCCTGTCTCATGGGGATCAGTTATCATAGCTATTACTCTTATCGGATGCTCTTCTGCTGAATCATCGACTGATTCCTACCTATAAATTGGCCTTGCGACGTTTCTCTCCCTAGCTTACTCTTTATTTCAGTGCACATATAATAAATGGATGTATGTATTGATCATCAACTCAATCTCTAAATAGATCAATGACGGTCTTGGGAACGCGTACACGTTACTGTGGATAAAAATTGACTTGAATTCCAGGTTGGCATCGCACATTCGTTCTGGATACCAGGTTGAATCATTCAACTAGGGTGATACAAAACGCTACACAACTTCAAGTTGATAATACCAGCTATAATATGTATCATTTCAAAGACTTGACTGTTAATAAGAGGTCAAAGACGACGTTCGATGCCAGGTGTTCATGATCAATTCCGAAGCGCTGGCTGAATCTCCATTCCAGACCCCTTCTAGAACACGGTATGTGGCACAAGATTTGCTACTTATGAAACTATATTGATACGGGAGTTTAGCTTAGATACCCGCAGTGTTTGCTAGACAATGGCTCACTTCACTTTGTTTAATGCAACATTTCAACCAAAATCCACATCCATTTTGTGCCCAAATGGCATTCTGTATCCTACAGCATGTACTGAGCTGATAAACAGGTTGACCAAAATAGCAGATGCAGAGGCCGCCACAACCTAGCTGACGCATTAAAGGCTGAGCCACCTACCCTACTCGATGCCTTAGTACATGTTCGCATTCGCGGTCAAAGTATCCTTGCAGTTAGTAGGTTTTGTTCTGTATAAACTTTGGGCTTTTGTGTTCACCAGGTATGGTCATTGCTGGAAGACCTGAATCACAATCTCAATGGCTTAGTACATACCTCTAACATACTCCTACCCACTGTTGACATACTTCTGTTAAGAACTCAGGAACTTGCATAGAGGACTTCCAGTTCCAGATTGCGGCTGTAACACCAGGGGCTCGGTATGGATCCATGCATCTCAGGCGCTTGCTAGGTTGTTGGGCGTCTATCCAGGGCATCCATCGCATCCTTATGTAGGTACCTAGCGAAAGGTAATAAGAACACAAATGCCCTGTAAATCCAAACTTCCTAACAATCTAGGACTGACGAACGCCTGATCCATCCCCAAAACGATGCTAGAATTAAATGGATAGGCACGCCATCCATGACATTCAGTCTACCAGCCAACCAGTCAAGAAAACCCAAAGGTCGCCCGGGTACGTATTGCGGGCAGTCAGGTACACAGGACACCGCCCCCAGGGTCCGCCCTCCCCCACTAGTAACAGAACCTTAGAAGGTCCCTGGGAGGTAGTACCCAGCCAGGTATGGGTGTGGGAAGCTAGCACCCATGGAACTGCCGTTCATAAGTCAAGGCAGCCCAGGCAGCGCTACCATCCATCCTCTCGTCTCCTTTCAGCTTCTGACATCCATAATACTCCTTTCTTCTTCTCTTTTCCCTTCACTCGAAGACTCATCTCGACAACAATCCGATTTCGCTTCATATTTAAACTCTTAAACAAAATCCGCCATGAAGAAGTTTGGCTTTGGAAAGAAAGGCGATGACGGCGACGACGCCAGCCGCCACGCCCTATTCGGTCGCAAAAAGTCGTCTCAGTCTGTCTCTTCCGACAATCCCTACGCCAAGCAAGGCGGCAAAGATCCCTACGCCGATGATGCAAAGTACGCCAACGTCACTCCTTACCAGCAAGCTCGCGCTGGTCTAAACAATGGCCCTTCCCCTGGCCCCGGTGCTCAAGCCGCCAATTCTTATGGCGCCCCTCCTCCTGCCCAGGGAGGCTATAACTCTCAGCCCCCAAGTGGTTACGGTGCTGACCGATACGGATCTGGAGGTGGTTATGGTGGAAACCGATATGGCGATGCTCCTTCGCAGAACCGCCCTGCTCCATCTACTGGTCCAAGAGGTCCGGGTGGTTATGGTGGATTTGGGCCCAGCGAGCCTGACAATAACCGCGATGACCTCTTTGCCGGTGCTCAGCAACGCCAGGCCCAAAAGCAGCAACCAGCCAACAACGGCCCGCAATCGGGGGCTGCTGGTGGCTCCTACGGTGGTTATGGCGAGGAACGCGAGTTGACTGCTGAGGAACAAGAAGACGCTGAATACCAATCTATCCTTGCGGAGAAGCGGCAACTCCAGCAGGAGAGTGCCTCTTCGGTCAATCGCTCAGTGCAGATGGCTCGTCAAGCCAACGAAGTTGGTCGTGCCACTCTCGCTCGTCTGGGAGCCCAGGGAGAGCGACTTAACAACACTGAAAAGCATCTTGATCTGGCTGCCAACCAGAACAAGATTGCCCAGGATCGAGCTGCTGAGCTCAAGACACTCAACGGCAGCATGTTTGCCGTTCATGTGAGCAACCCTTTTACCTCCAAGCAGCGTAAAGCCAAGGCGGACGAGGAAGTTATGAACCGCCACCGATCGGAAAGAGAACAGCGGGAGGCTACTCGCCGCGATGGTTTCACAGCCAATCAGCGCATGGAGAACAACTTCAAAGATGTGGACTCTGCTGCCCGACCACGACAACAACCACGCAAAAAGGATTACGGAAAGTTCAACTTGGAAGACGAAGAAGGAGCCGACGAACTTGAGGACCAGATCGATGATGGTATCAACGAACTCGAGGGTCAGGTGTCCATGATGAACATGGTCGGCCGAGCTATTGGAAAGGAGGTTGATGCACAAAACAAGCAGATCGATCGTATTATGGATAAGGCAAGTCGCTTCTCGCTTCAACCAATCTGGATTCACTGCTAACTTAGAGGACAGAGCGATCGTGTTGATGATGCTACAAGAATGAACCGAGAACGCCTGGCCCGTATCAAGTAAAAGGGGCTCACACAATATGATGAAACATAGAAACGATCTTGGTTTGGGAAGAATGAGCGACGGCTTGATGTGCCCATTCAAGGTATCTACACCGCAAGATGGCAGGTCCAGTTTTGATTTGGCCTTGGACTGTAATCTAGGCCGAGCACGCATAACCGCGCTCTAGGAGCAGTGTAAGAGATGTGAATATGGAAATGAACTGGGCATCGTTTATATTTGACTTTGACTGATAATGTTAAGGTCTTTACCACAAAAGCTCAAGTGAAATGAGATGGCAATCTGTTAATCTTGTATCTCTAAGACCAAAGAACTTATTACAAGGTTTTATGATAAAGCCTATAAATGGAACGAAACAGCATTCATGATGGGCAAATGAACATATATGCTAGTGTGCACAGTGTGTAACCATCATAACACTGTATACTCACTTAAACATGCATGAAATTTTCGAGAGTAAAAACCACAGGCTTTAATGAACCTGTAAGAACACGAGCAACTATAAACACAATGGCAACCGACAATAATTCTAGGCCTCCAGCTAAGAAGAGAAAAACCAAGTCAAAGGATTCGAATGCTTTGACCGTCGGAGGAAAAGTCATTTCCTTAGAGGGTTACCTCACAGCGCCCCCCAAGCCTAAACAAGTCGATGCAAAGGCATCGGAAACAACAGGCAGCGAGACCCCAACAACAGTAACAGCTACCACCGTACCAGAGAAGAAGAAAGAGAATTCGCAGCAAAGGCCAGCCAAAAATCACAAGGACTACCAGGTCAAAAACCGTTACAATGAAAAGGCACGAAGTCGAGAAGACCCGAAACTACTCAAAACTCGCAAACAGCTTCCCATCTGGCAGTATCGCGAGGACATCCAGCAGGCGCTGCGAAACAACAGCGATGTTCTTGTTCTAGTGGGCGAGACAGGTTCCGGTAAAAGTACACAAGTCCCTCAGTTTCTCTGCCAGGAGCCCTGGTGTAGGCGGCAAAGGATCAAGCTCGCTGGATCAGACGAAGAAATTTCAGTTGGGGGCGCGGTTGCTATTACACAGCCTCGACGAGTCGCCGCGACGACGCTGGCCCATCGAGTTGCCCAGGAAGCCGGAACCCCCTTAGGAAAAGGCCGACCGGATGGCTTGGTTGGTTATTCAGTTCGATTCGACCATCAAGTGCCGAAGGGTTCGCGGATCAAGTTCCTGACTGAGGGTATGCTGCTCCAAGAACTGCTGCGAGACCCAAATCTCAAAAATTACAGCGCTATTGTGGTTGACGAAATCCACGAGCGGAGTCTCGACGTCGATCTCCTGGTCGGTTTTCTAAAGCAGATTCTCTCTAGCGATCTGTCTGGTCGCGCCGGCATTCCTCTCAAGGTCGTCATCATGAGTGCCACAGCAGACGTGGAGGGTATCCAGGAGTTCTTCAAAGATGTTCGCCCCAAGACGCAAGACGAGAATTTGCTCCAAGTTCTCAAGATCAAAGGAAGACAATATCCGGTGACGGTTCATCATGAGCCACGACCAGTAGCTGACCTTCAGGACGCGCTTCTCAAAACGATATACAAAATCCATCTGCAAGAGCAACTTCCTGGAGACATCCTCGCTTTCCTGACAGGCCAAGAAGAAATTGAGGTGGCGCAAAAATTAATCGAAGAATACGCGGGAACACTGGCATCGAACGTCCCCAAGATCAAGGTCTTCCCGTTGTATGGTCAATTATCGATGGATGCACAACGCGAAGCATTCCTGCCTCTCAAGGCATCGTTTACTCGAAAGATCGTGTTGGCAACAAACATTGCCGAGACATCAGTCACTGTACCCGGAGTCAGATACGTGGTGGACTGTGGAAAAGCCAAGGTGAAGCAATACCGAACTCGTCTTGGTATGGAATCTCTCCTCGCCAAGCCTATCTCAAAGTCGTCTGCTGTTCAACGAACTGGTCGAGCTGGCCGTGAAGGCCCAGGTAAATGTTTCCGCCTGTACCCAGAAGCGGCTTTCAAGACACTACAAGATTCCGATCTTCCGGAAATTCTTCGCAATGATGTCCTAGGGGCGGTATTGACTATGAAGGCGCGCGGGATTCAAGATGTTTTGGCGTTTCCTCTTATGGATCCACCAGAAACAGAAGCAATTGAGAAGGCACTCATTCACTTGCATTTCCTTGGAGCTCTAAACGATGATGGCACCATCACAAAGACTGGTGAAACGATGGCCCGTTTCCCCATATCTGCGCCTCTGGGAGCTGTGCTGCTTGCTGCTGCTAATCCTGAGTTTGACTGCGTGGTTGAAGCAATCGACATTATTTCCTGCATCACATCTGGCGAAGACATCTTTTTGAGTATACAATCTGAAGAGGCACAGGAAGAGGTTGAGACCTTTAGAAAGGAGCTTCAGCGCCGTGAGGGAGACATCATTACGTATCTCACCACCATTCAGCAGTACACGGCCGAAAACGCAGACAGAGTGAATTGGTGTAAGCAACGGAAGATCAACATGCGAAACATGAGACAGGCTTTGAACATTCGAAGGCAGCTTCGCGGCATGTGTCTCAAGGAGAAGCTTTTGGATGAAGCTCCACCAGCTGATCCCCAGCCGTTTGTACCCATCTCACCTGAGCGCGCAGAGCAAGTCCTCAAGTGCTTCATGCGAGGCTTCGCTCTGAAGACTGCAATGCTGGCTCCCGATAGTAGTTACGTCACTGTTCAAGGCAAGCACGTTGTGGCCATTCACCCAGCTAGCGTGCTACACGGGCAAAAGAAAGAAGCCATCATGTTTCTCGAGCACGTTTATACTAATAAGAACTATGCAAAAAAGGTCAGCGCCATTCAAGCAGTATGGATTGCAGAGGCATTGGAAGGAAAATGAGCAGTTAGATGCGAGGGATCTGGGAAGAATACATGATAGATAGCCATGTGTCATTTGCGAAGATATAGGGAGATAACGAGAGGTCTATCCAACTCCTTATTCATTCACACTATCTTTTGTTCATTGCGACCATCTAGTAAGCTCTACATCACTATGTGTCATCAGGACATCGATTATGCATGTAAATGCTCAATGAAATTCAAGACGAAAGATTTGCTCGATCAGTCGTACAATATATGTCTACAACATGTATAATATCCAGGTGTCTATGATTCCTGCTCACCACCCTCTTTACCTCTGTTTTGAATAGCCTGCATCAGCTCGTATAGTTGATGTATTTGCTCATCTTTCATGGAATCAGTAACAGGTCTGCAAGATGATACTCGGTCATAGGCGCTCACCACTCATCTTCGAGAGCTTCTGCTCATCTAGCTTATCACCTACCCACTGGTCACCCTCGATCTTTTGCGCATACATCTGCCACTCTGTCAAGAACCCAATCTATTCTCTAGGTCAATCTCTCTCTCCTCATAATTCCTCTTCAAATCAACATACCAGATGAGCCGGGTTATCCACCTTTCTATGCGCTCTGAACTCAGCCTTGATGTACTCATCTCCGAGAATTCTCATCTCAGGCGGTAGATGCTTGCGATGGGCACGTAGGAGTCGTCGATACAAGGGAATAGGAGGGAGGAGAGCCATGGGGTTTGGCTTCAGACCACGCTGGGTAGTGGTGGCTGATGCCAGTCTTAACAAGGACGGACGCATTTCGGACAATCGGGAGAGGTTATTCCTGTGATGTCCTTTTATAGTTATAATATAAGTTTAAAGCTCAATCGTGGTGACGTTGGCAACGGTGAAGAATAAATCATTGAGATTGACGACGGATAGAACCGCGGGAGTCGATGAGATTCTCAAAGACAGTGTCCGGCACATTACCACTCACTAACTTTGTCGCCCCTACGCCCCACTATACTACCACCTAACACAGTGCACACACTCACAACTTTTTGCCATTACTCACTTCAAGAGAAAACAGATACGAATAAACACCATTCGCCATGTCTTTCTCATTTGGATTCGCAGGCGACGACATTTCTGACGATGAGCAGAACTCTTCAACTGTCAAGCCAACAGTCCCAGCTCCTGCAGCCACCAGCAGTGCATTTCCTGTCGCAGGAAAACCTCAGCTTCCACCAACTCTCCATCAACTGTCTGATCTTCTCGCCCAGCAACCGTCCAAGATCGCTTACGGTCTTCTAGATGTTGAGCTTGACGATGGAACTAACGTTCAGTTACCACGGAGAGAGTTGTGGGATGTGAGGGTGCAACTGATGGCTGAAGAGGAGGATGTCGCTGGAGTGCAGTCCGAGGGTCTGGGTAGTCATGATGTAAAAACGGGGGTTTATGAGGGCGGCTTCAAGAGTTGGGAGAGCAGTGTTGACCTTGTCAAGGTTCTGGCCGCGAATAAGGCTGTCTCAACGCTGGAAGAGAAACCTTTTCGAGTTATGGAGGTAAGTAGAGAGAGGACAATGTGTGTACTAAGTATGGTGTGTCTAACTCTACCCCAACAGCTTGGATGCGGGACTGCGTTACCATCTCTGGCCGTCTTTCAATGGGCCATGACCTCGAAATCAGAAAAGAAGCCTCTGTCTCTCATCTTGGCGGACTACAACCCTTCAGTCCTCCAACTGGTCACTCTTCCCAATTTCATTCTCTCCTGGGCTCTTAATAACACTCAGCTACCTGCTCTCCAAGAAGCCTTTTCAATCGAGGGCGAAGTCGAGCTTGGTCCCGATGTCCTTGCAGCTTTTCAACAGTTCCTCCAAGAATCAAACATCACACTTTCTTTCGTTTCCGGAGCATGGTCACAAGAGTTCGTGGATCTCCTCTACACTCTACCTTCGGGGAACGGTCAGCCAAACGCTACATTGATCTTGGGCGCCGAGACAATCTACTCGCCGTTTGCCCTCCAAGCTTTCCTTGAGACTCTCTTCTTGATCCTAGAAAGGGAGCGAGGTACTGAGGGCAGCCAAGCGGGCGCCTATGTCGGCGCAAAACGTTTGTACTTTGGTGTTGGCGGTTCACTCGACGATTTTATTGACAAGGCACGTCAAAAAGGTGCCAAGGTAGAACAACTGCGAGAAGAGGCGGAGGGGGTTAGACGTGGTGTCGTCGAATGCGTTCTCGGGCCTGCGTAATGTCTCATAAGAAAGTCAAATAGAAGGATGATTAAACGATTAAAGTAACCAGAGTATGTTCCTAGTTTCTGCTCTTTCAACTCAAGGGTCAGATACTGGCTACTCGAAGCAGTATGGGTATATACCACCCCGTTAACGCTGGTGCCCGCCCATCTTATCAAGTGTGTGTTACTTTGTTACCAAAGCACTCGATTTTGTCCCTTCCAAAACCCCCTATATAGCCAAGGCTACTTGCTCTTCTTAAACTTCTCAGCGCACACTGGACAGTACCACGTCCCGTTGGGCTCGCTTTTGAGACCGACGCAGGACCAGTGGAACCACTCGTAAGGACAATTATCATTGTCGCATGCAACCATATCGCCGTAGCTAACGTTATGGCACAGGCAATATTTCTTGTCGTCGCCAGCCTCTTCGTCGTCTTCATCAGCATCTCCTAGTATGTCATCGCCGTCCATATCTTTGCCGTCGGCCACGGGTGTACCCCTTGATCGACCGTCGGCGCCCTCTTCTTCTTCCCCACTACCGCTGTCGACATCCGAAAGCTCACTATCATTCGTTACCGCAGGGGAGTTTCGGTTCGAAGCCTTCTTTACTCGCGATAGGTTCGACTTGTTGGGCATCTTTTTTCTTGCTCCACCTGTCGGGGTACCTCGACGCCCGCCCACTGTTCCTGTTGACTTGACAGAACCAGCTCTAGGGCCTGCACTTCCTGCCCTCGCCAGCCCTGCTCCTCCAGGTGCACCTCCCTTAGGGGTGCCTGGACCGAGCGAGGAATGTCTTGCCAAACCACTAGACGCAGTTGGCAAAGTACCCAAAGCAGGGTTTACACGAGGAGCTCGTTTCGTTGCAGGCCCTGCAGATCCCTCTCTTTGTCTGTTCAGGATTATGCTAGCCGCAGGTGTTGCAGGAGCGGATGCGGCATGCTGCTGAGCCTGTGCGTGTCGGACATTTGGATGATTGGGAAGTCGAGCGAGGGTAGGATTTGAAGAGGTTTGCGCGGCGGCGGCGAGAGGAGTGGATGGGCCAGCGGTAGTCGTCATGTGGCTCGCTGGGTTGATGGCACGAATTGAGGGAGCGGTATGGTTTGCGGCGCTTGGTCGGAGCAAGGATGGGACCTCGTCGGGGTCAGTAAAACCAGGTTCGGCTCTGTCGTAAAGCTGCTTTATCTGAGAGTCCAAGTTCCGTAGATGCTTGTCCATTAAGAGCTGCATCTTCTGGTGCAAAACGATCTTTTCCTGCGACAGCTGATCTGCTCGAGCATAATTCTCGCGAACCTGGGCTCGAAGAAGCTCCTCCTTAGGGTTTGGCTCGTGGCTTCCATTGGTCTTTATCCATTTTTGAATCTTCCCGTCGCGATCCTCGATTATACGCACACACTCGTTATATTGGCGGTCTTTGTCGGCAACCTCGCTTTGGACAAATTGGATCTCTTCGGGGAGATTTTGGACTCGATTGATCCAATCTTCGAGGATTATGCCGGGATCGAGGGGCTCGGCTTGAGGCATCCTCTTGACGAAGTCGATGGACAAATCGTCTCTAGGCATGATTATTAACGATGAGAATGCGACGCGATAAGAGCTAACAGAGAAATGCGGTTGCGACAAAGTCGAAGCTCTCAAAAACCGTTCGACAGATGGTGCTGTACCGTCAGGCCAGTGAACGTATGTATTTATGTGTGAACGGATGCAGATCAAGAAGAATAGAAGAAGTATGAGACAACCCGACAAGTGGATTGGTCTGTTCTTGGTCAAATCAAGACAAAAGGCAGGACAAGGAGTGACTTTTTAGAAGATGCAAGGCAAGTGGTCCCGTAGATACAGTGGACGCAAATTTCCGAAGCCAAACAGCAGAGGAAAGAGCAGGGGGCAGGGGGGAGACTTTGGCTGTCGCAAGCAACGCCAGAAGCAAAAGCAAGCCCAGATTCAAGATACAAGATTCAAAGAACGCAGAGAGGAATCAGCATGAATGACTCGGCTCAGCTCACCTCAATACCCACTTGCACTCGCTTGTTCCTTTTATTTGAGATGATGATTTTGAGTTGGATTTGACAACCGTAAGAGTCGCAGTGCTCAGTCAGCGCAGCTCAACTAAAGTAAGAGAATACAAGAAGCAGCCTTGGATTGATGTTTGTTCTCTTCTCTTTCGAAGGAGCGCTTTCTTTGAATACGATACGATGAAGAATAGGAAAAAGGTGGAGGCATGAGGTTGGTGTAAGTTTTGTGAAGTAGCAAGCAACCTAAAGAGGTCAAGTGACGTTTAATCCCCTTCAGCGCCAGCCTTTCAATCACCGCCACATGCTGCAGCCACAAGTCTGGGCTGCCATTGACTAGACTTTATACGGTATAGATAGATCAAGATGGTGGAATCTGCAGGTGGTTCCTGGCAATTTCCATCCAACGACAAGTCTCTGAAATTGAGAAAGCAAGGGTTTCAGAGCGAGAACATTGTTTGCTTCACTGGGGTACTTATCAGTCTACTAAGGTTAGCAGGTACTCCCCACATTACAGTGACCAAATCTGACTCTAGTGCATCTACCTCAGTGCCTAGGCCTGCTAGCTAAGAGTTGCCGCTTGCATTTGTCATTTTCGACTTCAAACATCTGAAGCCATTCATTTTACCAGCTACATCAACTCAACTCACACAGCTCAACCACCGACTTCCTGCACGAGTGTCATTCATTAGCAACACCGTACTACGCTTATTCTTTTCTATTGAACCACCACAAAATTATAGTGCAAGACTTGTTCTTTGAAACGCACCGGACTTACAAAACTAACTTACTCAGTCGCCCACCCACTCATCCATCAATCAGCTGCGTCGCATTCTATATTGCATAAAGATTCCCAACAAGGGATCACTTATACTCTAGTAGCAATGGATATAGACTCCTACAGGTACCGGGTGCCAAAGCCCAACTATCTTCCACATATACCAGACGATGATCGCGACAACTCTCTCGTGGAAGAGTACTCCAATACTCCGCTCGGCTTAGCCAGTGAGATGGAAAATGCCAAATTCTACAACAAATGCAAACGCCTCGCCGAAGAGTCCGGCATCACCCGACCCAAGGGATACAATGTATCATTTCACTGTAACCCGGACATCGAGGAACATCACTTCGGTGTCACTCATCCCATGAAGCCCTGGCGGTTAACACTTTCCAAGAGTCTCATTTACTCTTACGGCATGTCTTTCGCCATGGACAATTATATCTCCAGGTCGGCCACATACGAGGAACTCGCCGAGTTTCACTCCTCGGACTATCTGGACTTCCTCGGCACAGTACTGCCTGAGCCAGTACCTCGAGATCTCGAAAACCAAGGAGTCGACCTGAAGTTCAACCTGGGTGGGTCTGACTGTCCCCTCTTTGATGGCCTATTCAATTATTGTTCTTTGTCCGCTGGCGGGTCCCTTGATGCAGCCAGAAAGATTTGCTCAAAGCAGTCTGATATTGCCATCTCTTGGGGCGGTGGCCTTCATCACGCCAAGAGGTCTGAAGCGTCCGGGTTCTGCTACATCAATGACATTGTGATCGCCATTCTCCAACTCCTTCGCCATTATCCCCGAGTCTTGTACATTGACATTGATGTCCATCACGGCGACGGAGTAGAAGAAGCCTTCTTCTCTACTGATAGAGTCATGACTGTCTCTTTTCATAAATACGACCCAAACAACTTCTTTCCTGGTACTGGTGCTCTTGATGACAACGGTCCTAAGAGCGAGCACAACCCCGGTGCGCACCATGCCTTCAATGTGCCCTTGAATGATGGCATCACTGACGAACAATACGATCATTTATTCAATACCGTGATTGGCAAGATCGTTGAAAAGTTCCGACCGGGTGCCATCGCGCTGCAATGCGGTGCTGACTCTCTAGCCGGTGACCGTCTTGGTCGCTTCAACCTTCAAGTTCAAGGACACGGAGCCTGTGTCAAGTTCTGCAAGGACATGGGTATTCCCATGATTCTTTTTGGAGGTGGCGGGTATACTCCCCGAAACGTGGCCAGGGCATGGACATATGAGACCAGTATCGCTATCAACGCCCAGGACAAGATCAACCCCATTCTTCCAGAGCATGCCCCCTGGCGCGATCATTTCCGACAGGATACTCTGTTCCCTACTCTAGAACAAATCCTGGGTGAACCCCGAGTGAATCGAAACCCCCCGAAACGTTTGCAAGAAATTGTGCAGCACGTTACAGAACAACTTCGCTTCGTGGAGGCAGCACCAAGCGTTCAGTTCCAGACGATACCTCCTGACCTTGGTGGTGTCAGAGATGATGTCGAGGAACGGATCAAGGAGGAGAATGAAGAGAGACGGGGTGAGGTCGTCCGCAGAGCACGAGAGGCTGCAGTAGGGGCAGTGGGAACTGCAATGCAACTTTAGGACTTTTCAACATCCAGATACATATGTCAGGGTTAGAGTATATGACGGTCCTGGTCAACTGAAAATGCCTGGAAAAGCACGAGCTGAATCCTTTGCGGTATCGATATAGTTTATTTGGACCGTCTGGCTGAACAGATCAAGAAGGGCGTTGCATTGTTCAAGGACGTGGTTCCTGTATAAGGGTTCAGCTAATCTCTTACCGCAAAATGTTTTGCTGTCGTCCACTTACATGTCTCTGATTTTGCCATATATTACCAAAACTTCTATTGTTAGTTACTAAAGGCCGCTGAACAGCCATCAAGGTTGTGTTTAGAAGTCCGGTAATGCCCGCGAGTTGCCATTGCTCTCATCCCAGAGTGGCTCGCACATGTAATGGGCAAGGATTGGCCCATCTCTATTTATGCTTTTGTCTGCCATGCTCTGATTTACCTCGTTTAGTCTCCCTTATCTCACCCATGACATCCATATCTCATGTTTGGTATATAGTTTTCGCTACTCACTTGAATCAGCAATCTAGAAACATTCGCTTGACATCGGCCCTCATTCGCATTCTCGTAGCTGAGCATCCCAAATCATACATTAGCTCTTGGTAGCTCCATGGACGCTAGTCGCAACGACGAATGTCTTATTACTGGCTATAATCAAGACCATAACTGCTGAAGCAAAACGCACGATCCCTTCTGCTACTCCTTTTAGCTCTCTGACTCCAGGCTCAGTATTGAATGGGAAATTGGCCTTTATTAGCGTGCAACTTCATCAAATTCAGGATGTGGGAAGATCAACTTGTGCTGTTGCGTCAGTTACCCTCGTCAAGTTGTGTGAAAACAAAGGCAGGTCAACGTAAGATATGGCAACTCTGTCGGACGATTTACGGCTGATGTAAAAGCAGAAAGCGTTTTGATCTTAACGATCAGTATTAAAGGGTTCTAGATCCATTGGGTTTGCGTTGGTGACTGTGCATCGAAGACTTTCCTAATATGAAGCAGGTCCTTGATAGTTCCATAATGTGAATGTTTGGTCCCTTCCCGGTGCATGCGTTACAGTATACGGAAACCACGAGAGACTTTCAGGAGAAGTTGGGCATTCGAGTGGCATTCAGTATAGACATTCGAATATTGGATCCTCTGTGTCCGACGAGAATTGGACCATGAGTGGCTGGATGGCAAGGAGGGAGGTAACTGAGGGGGTCATCCATTGTTAAACGGGGACAATTTAAGGGTCCAGATGTTTAGATGATGAAAGTGGATGAACGACTATCTATGCCATGTTGGAGTAGGTATTTCCCCAAACTTTCTACCCTATAATGAGGAGACATGGAATGCGGGGGAATGTGGGGTCAGTAACCTCTTAACAGTTGATCAAGAGGTTCCCTGAAATGCATTTATTAGACTGACTGTACCTGACCTGGTAAATTTTAGTCAATACTTGTCGAACTTCAACCTTACCGCTGGTGCCTTTGAAAAAGGTACTGGCTGCAATGGTTCAAACCTCTTGACTACATGTATACACCTTGTTACTTCTTCTCTAGCATTTACGCAGTGCCAGAGCGACCTCTGAAATCAGTGTATCCAACAGGTGAATGACCGATGGCGATTGTCTGGTGGATTTCTGGGCTACCACTGTTAAGGTCACTCATCTTTTTTGTTATACTTATCCTTAAGCGGAGCATTAGAAATATGCGAAACCTTGAATAAATTCTCGACTGATTATTTTATCCCAGTGTTCTAAGAGTCGTGAAATTTGCGGCCAAACTGGTTTCATTTGGCACAGTCGTCTTGCATCCTGAGGAAGACATACACATTCAAAATTTGGAGTTGGAGGAGGTACATCGTGGGCTAAAAGGCCTTAGTAGACGGCCAGAACGGACGTCTATTAAATATCCATATCACTTGCTACAGAGGGCAATATCGTTGCAAGATGGGTCAGTTTAAAGATATGTTTTACCATCCAAAGCCTATCTCTCGTAGGTGCTAAGTAAATGCGTTAATCAAGTAGCCAACTCTTAGGTCTTAGGATAAGCTTAGAAACACTGAAGAGGGAAACCCTCGATAGAGACAAAATCGAAGTTGGGGTTTCGTCGATCCATCGATCCTGGTTCATTGAGATATACCCGCCCTGGCCTTTTGCTGCATCTTGCGAAGCTCCATTGCTACAAAGACAACAAGTGACACACCTACAGCCAGGCCAATAACCAGAAGCATGATATCGACGGGTACTGGGTTGCCATTAAAGGTCTGGTGAAAGAGAACATCGAGACCAGACTGTGAAAAGTTGAGCAGGCCAGAGAGGCAGATGATGAGACCGTATACAGTTCCAAAGGTTCGGAAACCAAACACTTTGGCACTGTAGTCAGACACTGCAGTGTAGTAAAACGGACGGTATAGAACGAAGAGGATAATTCCAGTGTATGCTGCCCACTCAAAAGGCAATACGCCCAGAATACCGATGAGCGTTCCGCATGCCACAAGAGCTGACAACACAAGAACAGTGCTGACATGGTCAAGAGCTGTACCAATGAAAGGAATCGCAAAGATCCCGCCGGCTGGGAGGGCCACGTCAAAGAAGGTATTGACCCTGACTGCGCGTTCACGGTCGCCAAAAATAGCCTCGTACTGTGGTCGGATGGTAGCAACAAAGAAGTTGATTCGCGTCATCTGCACAACAGTGAAAAGACAGATGAGTATAAACCAAGGAGACCGAATCTGCTCGATGACAGTACAGTCATGAAGAACTCCCCATACTCCCGAAGCAACATGTTTTCGTTCACTGGCTTCAACTTGGTCATCGCCCTTGGCTGATCCCAAGAGGTTCTCGATGTCGTGTACCACGGCTTCGCGCCGCTCTCTTTCCTCACGACGCTCGTCACGTAGCAGGGCCGTATGCTCGTTAATTTCCTGCTGCGTGCTTGTAGTTGAGTGGATAATGATATCATCATCCGCCTCAGCGGCTTGGTCGACAAGTTCTCCAACCGTCTTGTAAGATTGGCCTGGCATGATTAGAATCTGGCTGATGAAGATCAATATCGGGACAACTAAATAAAAGAGGAAGAAGCGGTGCAAAGTAAAGGCCCCATCAGTGGCGTTATATACAAGACGGTAAACAAGAAACAGTGCGCTTGAGGAGTCGAATGCGCCGGTCAAAAGTGCTAGGATTAGTCCAGAGTGTCGCGGGAAAGCGTTTGAGAGCTGGAAAGACGAAATATAGGTGAATGGACCTCCAAGTGCCAAAAACAGATAACCTGGTAGAAGTCCATCAAACGGTAGGGACTGGGCATGAGCCATGAGTAATGCGCCTGTGGTCAAAAAGAGGCATCCTAACAAACCACAGACACGAGGACCATAGTTATCAAGGATCGCTCCTACAGGAAGAGCGGCAACATTCGTACCGACAGCGGCGACTGTGAACATCAGGTTCAGCCTGATCTCAACGCACGTGTTATGCGGATCGTCAGAAATGGCGCCTACATGACTTGCCGAGCGTTGATGGATGGCGGCCTCGCAGATATCAGAATATGCGCCTTCGAGCTTGAGGACGGGTTTGATAGCAGCATAACCGAAGACTATTCAGTACCAGTCAATCACTTTGAAAATTCGGTTCCAAGCCTGAGAAGGTACTGACCTATGCCTGCTGCAAAGAGACAGTGTACAACAGCAGCAGCAATCTGGACTGGGCTTACACGTTAGCGCTCAATGTATGACTACCATTTAAGTGGCAACTTACGCAATCTCTTCCATGAAGGGACCTCGAAAGCACCAACAGTCTCAGCAGGCTGGTCATCCGGCCTCAACGATGCAGTCTCAAAGTCCTGCGGTACAGGATTAAATGTCAACCGCCGAACCCTCAGGCTCGCATCGCTGCCCCTTCTCTCAATAGAAGCCCCATGATGGCCATGTGGAGCCGTCAGCGTCTCGATGCTTTGGACTCGGTTTAGCGACATTTTCTCGATCTCAATCGTCGAGAGTTTGAAAGAACCGTAGATGAAGAGAGAAAACTCCAGCGGGCAGCTCCAAGTCAACGCCGAGAAAGAAAGGCTTGGACTGTGTATTTAAATGGACACCGGGTAAAACTTGTGTGGAGTCGATGACGATAGAGGCATGGGATCATGATGCGCTACCAGACGGCAGGCTGCAGTAACGCTTCTTTAGCGGCGCCGTCAACTTAGCTGCCTATCTTTTATCATTGCCTGGTGATATCCAGTGACTTGTTTTGTCACTAACAAATACAACGCTGAGCTACAGCCAAGCCCTGTACATCCAATATCTCCATGTCGAGCCTCCTCTCTACTGTTATTACCTTCTGCACCTTTCAGCCGCATCTGCTCTCTCTCCTCTGCTCGTTTTTATTGTCTCAACAACCCAGAGCTGTTGATTGATACTAGACACAAATTCCACTACCTAGGTAGGTGTTAAGCCAACAACAGCTCAACAGCGAATTGCTATGCTGGAACCATTAGACATCAGTCGTACCGATGATACCACCCTTCATCTATTTAGGATGACAGTGAAGAGGGATTGGTTCGATTGAGGGTCACATGCAGCAATAACAATGCAAGATGCTCAATATTGGCTGGCAGCCCGAGTTTAACTAGCAGGTATGTTGTACTTGCAGCACGGCAGAGCCGGCTAAAACAAGCTATCGGCTATGGCGTCTGGGGCGTCTGGGGAATAACACACATAATGTAACGGCAAAAGCCTATCCTGACCAACGACAACCACATGTATCAAGTGTAACTCAATTATTTCATGGACATGAGCCGTAAAGGCAAGAGAAGATTTCAATTACCCAAATCAAAAAGACACAATACACTATCCAATCCAAAGACATTACATAGACAAGCTAAACTCTAAGAGCGGCATCTATTCCAGGACCCAACGGCGTCAACCACTTGATATCGTTGATGCTCCGAGAGATTCTTCCACCGCCCTCTCTTCGGGGTATAAAACTCCGCGCGGGCTCCTCCCAATGCAAAAGTTAATCGCAACCGCTGGCTATACTCGTTCGTCGCCGTACAATGATTCAAGGCATAGTCGGTTCGTGACAAGTGCACTATACAAGACACAATCCAAAATGCAATGTATAAGTACGTGCTGACGTATGAAATAAATCGCAAAAACAAGTACGGCTGGCAAAAGACCCGACATCAAAAAGACAACCAAGATCGGCCATCAAATCAAATATCGGTCCTTTTCGTTATCCAGACAGCACCTAAAATATTTTAACCAGCTCAAAAGGGGGGAGCCTCGCTCGTGCGAGCAGCCGGATACTCCGCTACTCGGGCTCGTCCGTGACCTGCAGCCGAAAGGCCCTGAGCTCTGCCACCCAGAATATTGACAAAGAAGTTCCAAAACGCACATCCTACTCGACAAGTAAAAATTACTTTTGTTTAGAAGTATCGGATAACAGCCTTGCCACCCTTGGGGATGGTGGTCTACAAAATCAGTTAGTATATAGCTCGTTTTGATTTGAGAGTATGACTTACAGTGCAGCCAGATCCGCCCTCGCTCCACTTTCCATTAACGTAAGAGCACTTAGTGTTAACATCTCCCTTGATCTCAATGTTGAAATCGAGCAATGCAGTGCTAGTAGGCAGGTTCTGGAAGATAGAGATGTAGGTGTTGCCATCGGCAGCTTGGCCGACACCGAGGACAACAGGAGACCAGTTGCCAGCGTCCTTGCCCTTGGGGCTGTCCCAAACACAAGCGTCCTCAATGCTGTAGCCCTTCTTGTTGACATAGTACTGAGCAGAGGTGCCAGAGCCATCCCAGACATAGTACTTGTCCTGGGCAGGGTTGCAGATGTTGACGGAGCTACCAGCGCTGGCAAGAGCGGGGATGACCATGTTCTCAGTTCCGGGGTAATCAGTTCGGCAAGTGACGACATCCTCGTCGAGGTCGTTCTGGATGGAGACACCACCAACACCAGCATCGCAAAGAGTGTCGAAGTCCTCACGGGTCAGCTCGAGCTTGCCGTTCTCGTTACAGTAAAGACCACCAACAGACTCCTTATCGGCACCCTGAGCGGAGGGCCATTGGGTCTTTTGGTAACCAGCAGGGCAGGCGTAAGAGCACATAGCTCCAGGAGTGCAGCCCTCGCCCTTGATAGCGGTGGCAATCTTGAAAATGCTGGTGGATGAGAGGGTAAAGTCGGGAACGTACTGGATACCAGACCAGCCACCGAGCTCGAGCCAGTCAAGAGCAACAGCGCCGTACTCGGAGGGGAAGGTGTCGCAGTCAACCTCGCCGCTCTTGAACTTCTTGTCGACACCGGAGCCAGTGCCTGTGAAACCAGAGGTGGAGCCACCCGTCTTAGGCTTCTCAGTCTTGGGCTTCTCAGCCTTGGGCTTGGTGGGCTTGACGACGGCGGGAGCAGAGTAGGCAGGCTCGGCAACGGCGGTAGAAGCCTCGACAGTCTTGGATTCGTAGAATTGGGCGCCGACCTCCTTCTTGGGCTGTGTAGCCTGCTCAGGTTGAGCAGCAGGGGTCTGGGGGGCAACGGGAGCGTCGTAGGTTGGGTTAGACTCGCCAACAATGACGAGGTTACCTCCATTCAGACCGGCCTTGGCGGCGTCGATGTCGATTTCCTTACCAGCAAGCTCGTAGACAGTCTCAGTGGCACCGACAACATACTCGGTGATAACATCAGGGCTGCGCTTCTCGACCTTGGATCCAGCGTGACGACGAGCGTGCATGTGCTGGTGGTTGTGGTGCTGGGCGGTGGCGCCGGCGGCAAGCGTGGCCGCAAGGGTGTAAGTGATGAGGTTCTTCATGGTAACGGTATATAGCGTGGTGATGCAACTATAATATCTAGGATCTTGGTTAGCTTTCGAAGTTTCAACAACGGGTATAGTAATTCGAATGCGTCGTCGAGTTCCCATAGCTAGGTCGAAACAAATGCGCCCTATTTTGACTGCCAAGTGGACGAGGAGACCTAGTTGTTAGGGGTATGGATGCCGTTGTTGATTTGATTTGCGTTGCTTTTGTTCTTTGCGTGTCTGTGCCCCTTCTCTGGGGAATCATTGTTGATAACCCAGCCGTCGTCCGTTAAATTGGTTTTTTTCTGACGTTTGGTCACCGACATTTCTCGCATCTGGGTGGTTCCCATGTTCGGTTTCGTTCATTCTTTTTCACGTATGTCCTTATTCTCGTCTTCGTCCTTCTAGTATCACGTTCCTTGCTCGACCGCGGTTGCCCATGGGAACTTGACGACTCCTTCTGATTTGAAGATAAACACTAACCTTTTTCTGAAGAATGACTTGAAATCAAGATCAAATCCGTCGATTAAAGTGAGCGACTGCTGTAAAAGCGAATGTGGTGAGGCAAAAAGGCCAGAAACACAAAAACAATTGTATAAATGAGTGTGGAAGAGAGTGAGTAAAGATGAAACTCTCAGTTGGCAAGTAAAGAGCGCACGAGGAAATCAAAAGGAACAATGCGCCTGGGGTCAACGGAGACGAAAGGGGATAAGAATGAACAGAGGCCCAGAGTCTTGACGGGGGACCAGGGACTGGAGGAGAAGGGGGCAGACTAAGGTAAGGTAAGGAGCAGGGGGTGATTAAGTCCAAGAGAAACTAAAGCAAGGATCCAGAAGAGATTGCCATCCATGAACCCGAAAAAGCCAGGTCATGTCGGGACGTCCATTGTCATGAATGCGCACCCGGTCAAACATTAAGGCCTGGGATGCAAACAGACCCTCCGAGGTATTGAGGAGTAAGACATGATACCAAGTGAGAATACCAGAAAGAGTAGCATGTTCCTCGATTAGGCTAGCATCAGTTCCAGCGTCGGTACGGATACGTTGGGTCATGGTTTTTCTTGGCTCAGTCAAGGGAGTTTCTATTTACAGAGTTGTCCAGGCAGTCGAGGGTGACCGTCTTTCCATGTCCAGGGGAGGCCTACGAATATCCAGGGGAAATAGGTTGAGAAGACGCCGGACCAGACTACCAGACCAACGACAGTTCAGGGGTACCTGACGAGATTGATGCGAGGCTACTGTTATGGAAATTCATGCTAGGCCATCTATTGGTGCTAGTGGCCGCTAAATTTACGACTGCCCAGTACAGGGAGATTACCTGTCCAGCACTTGCTATGATTGGATGGAATGGCTTGACCAAGGTCCATCTCTGTACCCCCTCGACCCTCGTTAACCAACATGAACATGTCGGATGTTCCTTCCTGGGCAGATTTCGGTTGGACAAAGCTTCCATCTCAAAGACTCAATTTCAGGAACCAGGCGCAGTCAAAACACACCTGCCAAAACAAGTCACCTCAACTACCTTCCTGCCGAAAGATCACACACAACCTTAAAAAGACAAAGGAAGTAGGGATCAATGCATAGAAACCTGCCTTGGTTATTACGGGATCGACAGTTGTTTCCTAACTATTACCCGCGCATAGAAAAGTGCAGCTTATTCGGTTAGTAGTCAGTACGTACATGTTTCTCACTCTCGCTTTCTTGCACCTGAGACGATATCAAGATTTTCCAAGACAATTGTACCTGTCGGTGATAACCAGTCTCTTTTTTGGTTCCTTGGCCCGTCGCTGGTTGCATACGCCTTACGTACCACTCATGGCTGAGCACATATTGAAGGCTTTGTTTGTTTGTGTGTGGAGGTGAATGCATTGTCATTTGCATCAGCTCATTTGCCTGGTATCGTTGTCATCCAGTCGTCGTCATGCCATAAATTGCGATGAGCAGATCCCCGTCTTTCGAACTCTTTTAGATCATCTAACTTCTAGCTCTGGACATGATGAGATTAGTCCCTGGCTAGAAGAGATCTATTACTATTATGGCTTGCGACGACGACGACGCAGTCTATACCGCTACTCTCTCATCTCTATCACAGTAATTGGCCCTTTGAACAAATAAAATCACACGATACGGCGCTTCGTACAGCAGTGGGGGTGCTACGTACTACGCATCAGGCACAGGCCCCCTTTTCCACTGTCTAAGCGCGGATTGTCAGATGCTTGGCTTCCAGTCAGTTTAAAACTGGTGCGTCTTGGCCAGTAGCTTATGCTCAGTCGGTTGTCTTTCGTGCCATCCGATCGACCGCCGGTCAGATCTGATCTGCTGTACATCACGGGTAAAATGAAAACTCGTAGCTATCGACGGGTTTTAAGAAGAGTCTCACATCAACAAGTCCCTGTTACTTACAATTTCCATTTTCATCACGGACACAGAGACAAATATCACAGGGAAGAACATCCATCAGGTACTGGGCCGTGATATTGATACAAGCCAACCTTGGCAAGGTGCGGAGATTCGACTTGCGCCAATTCTGCCTATTATACGGGTACATCACGCTTCATTCATCTGGGTTCTTCAGGGGAACTCACATTAGCGAAAACCCCTAGCTGCATTTGCTTCCGGATATTAGCTCGCTACTGCTTTACAGTATACAGCACAGCTGCGCTACCTTGTTGTGGTTAGCTCTGACGAACACAGAGTTCTTCTAGCTGGTCGTTAGCCGTTTCAAGCTCAAAAAGAAAAGCAAAGCCAATCATAGTAGCGAATTGTACCGACAGACTCATCTCGATTGATAGCCGTCAACAATAAGCATGATCTTCGTTTTAGTACAGAGTACATATGATCTACGGATACCTACCTCCTATTGCCGTTAACAATACCGCTTCCATTGTTCCAATTGGCAATTGTTTAATGAGGCTCGATGATAAGCTCAAACATCTATGGTTCTGATTCGGATTCATATCCGTAATAGTCTCATGACGCGTACTCGCTCGCTCACGATCAACCGCATTTCTGGCTTCTGATCAGAAGCTTCTATTCTGCCTCCACTCCACACATAACATCAAGACCGGCTAACATTACTGTTTCTTGCCCATGATTCCTCCATAATTACATAAAATAAGCTCAGTCACGATAGTTGAACGCGAGGACGCTGACCTCGTCACTCATGTCTTGATTGTTGATCTCTTGCCGCCAGGTGGGTTGGTTCATATTTGTCTCCTAACTCTTCCAAAGCTGAAGCTCTAAAGATCATCTTCATTGTCGTCATGAGTTGTTGTTGCCGCCGTTTTTTTTTTTTTTGCTTCTTTGTCCTTTACGCCAGTGGTACCATCTTTCGACAGTCACAGACCTCGGTCATGCGGCTACAACGCTATAGACAAGCACGATTCTTTGTTCAACAATTGTCTAGCAAACACGACAAGTTATTCATCTGCAGTTCTCCTTTCCCTTCTCTCCATTTTTCCTACATACTCCCTTACATTGACTGTATTCCGTTGTTATCATGCCACGACCCGTCGGATTGATATTTTCGACTCGGTAGCACTCGCCAGCTCTTTTGAGTAGGTTACATGTGGTTGATTTGACCGCCGCCACGTTGTTTCGTTTTGTCGCAGTAATTATCACTTAGTAGGAAGTTGATGCCATGCCGCGTGGACTAAGAATACAAGACCATAGCGTACGCGGAAATAGCCATACGATGCAATCAATCGCATCGTTTTCCGTGTTCAACATGAACAGCATCGCCGGACTATGCGCCTGTCAATATTCACATAGTAGGACCATCCATTGATAGGTTGGCCAGTATTGTTCAGCGGGCACAAGGTTGGCAATCTGGGGGCACAAAGCATATCTAATATTGTTTTCAATGTTGCAAGTTTACGTTTATCTAAAGGGGCCATTCCTGCTACGAGATATTACTCAAACGCAGAGTGATGATCAAGATCGAGGCATATTCTGGTCATGGGACGGGTCGATGTTTTTCAGCCGTTTCTTTTCCAATATGCCGGGACGGATAGGGGTGGTCTCGTCGATTTGCTTTCTCACACATTGTCAATTTCTTTGTTTGCCTGAGAGCAATGTGGACAGATCACTGTTTGCACATAACAGTCAGTCCTGCATGTTTTCTGGAGATTGAATTGACAGATAAATCATAATCGATCCAGGCCCTGCCTAGTTATGCGATAAGTTTGCAGTACGAGAACGAATGTATTGTTTAACTGTTGGACCGTCTGAGTTTACTTTCGGAATGACATCAAACATACATACCCTATACACCTACTTCCCGAAAATGGCGAAATGTTGACAACCCGATCCAGATATATTCAATTCCTTAGGTTTATACTCTGAAGCGAACACAAACAACTTGCATGTCTTAACTACTCTGCATGTTTCTTGTCACTCAATAACACATGTACAAGATGTCAGGAATCGCCAATGATATGGCTTACCAGCGCCAACCAAATGAAAGCACGAAACATTCAACGAATTATCTCAGTTAACTGACAACACAAGCTCTCATCTTAGTTGAAACACCATTGCGCCAACCAAAAACTGGCTAGAAGTATCACATTCTTCCATCTGATTCGTATCGACGTCTTTGTGGCTGCTTCCCCATTTGATTAGTTGTCTATCTAAGACAACCTGCAGTAACTGCCGGCCAGGACAACGGCTCTGCATAAAGAAGAAAGGGAGAAGGATAAGAACAATGTGAGCCATATAGACTAGGTGGTCCCATGCCTTGGAGTGGAAGGATTGGAATGGGTTTTGTTCCCAGATGTCACACATATGCGGCCCGAATGATTCAGATTCGTACTCAATGGAATGAACACCCAGGGCCAGACTCGTGTCCCAACAGCATTACGATGAAACCAGTCACTGAACTTGATCTAAGTGCCAAACTATCATGGATCGAGTCACAAACTGACTCGACGCGACCGACATGGACTAGACCACGCCGCGATGTGGATGTGATAGCATATGAATGATAGTTGTCACATGCTTCACACAATGGCCAATACC